AAAACACCATGTTCGCTTTGATGGCCCCCTCCTCAGGAGCACATTCCTTTCCCTGCCAATTTGTCCTGCTGTGAGCAAGAGAAGAACCCTATGTAAGCTCCATTACTCATACTGAAGCTAACACAGGGCTAAAGACCATCTCCACCCCCATGTGTCAGTGCTGGGCCAGTCAGCAAGCACCAGCAATGTCACATATAATGGGATATACGTCAAATGCTGCTCTGCACATGGAAGTACTGGATGTATTTCTTTGCTCTGAGGCAGAACAGAGTGGTGAGGGAATGAAGGAAAGTTGAGTGTGTTGCTCTAGGGAGCATTGATCTGGATGGGCAATAAACAGGTTTGCATAAAAGACTTTTGTCTTTGATGTTGGTAAATAACTTGTCTTTTTTGCTTTTCAGCCTATATATAAACTGTCCGGTGCTGTCAGTACTAGATCTCAGGAGGATGATATTTTTTCAGAAGAAAATACTTTGTGAGTTTTCTTTTTAATTTTGTTTTAGTGATAGCTCTTAATTATATCTTGGGCAGCACAGTGGCTAAATGGTTAGCACTTCCGCCTGGCAGTACTAGGGTCGTTGGTTCAAATCCCAGCCACGGCACCACCTGCCTGGAGTTTGCATGTTCTCCCTGTGCCTGCGTGGGTTTCCTCCGGGTACTCCGGTTTCCTCCCACACTCCAAAGACATGCTGGTAGGTTAATTGGATCCTGTCTAAATTGGCCTTAATATGTGTATGAATGTAAGTTAGGGACCTTAGATTTTACACCCCTTGAGGGTTAGGGACTGATGTGAATGTACACTATATGTGTGTGTGTGTGTGTAAAACGCTGCATAAATTGACGGCGCTATATAAGTACCTGAAATAAATTAATATCTATAAATCTCTCTTAAGCTGGGTATACATGTACAGTTTTTCTTTTTTTGGTGCAACCAGCGGGTTGAATGGGGAAAAAAAGAAAACTTGACAGATCCCTGCATCAACACAGGTGATATTGATGCATTGCTCTCTCCTGCTCTTCTTTTGTTTTCTGACCGGGGACTCATTATTCTGTTTTCTGTTGAACAGAGAGCGGTACATACATATCGAAATTTGTCTGGTTTTCAGTACGTGTGTACCAGGCTTTAGACAGTTGCCGCTATGGCACATGTTCTCCTATGTAAGATTTCCTAACTGTGTTCTGTATACTACTGTAAAACTTTGGATTTCAACACTTCTCTGTCCTAGTGATGATAGTCATCAAGACAGACAGACGGAGAATCGCTTGCCACCTTTTTTTTAAAACTTTAAAAAGTTTTGGCTCTAGATACACTTTAAATTCTGGATTCCAACATGTTGTCATAACTTTTTTTTTTTTTTTTTTTTTTTTTTAAGTGCTTGGAAAGGTGACCCCATCTTTGTATAATGTGTACAGATTTTGAAAGAGAAATTTTACTCATCTCTAAAAGAATACATTTCAGCAGCTACAAGTACTGTAGCTCCTGCCATTTAAAGTGGTTGTAAACCTCAGACATGAATTATGAACAAAACATATGCCTCTATAGTCTGTACTTGTGTCAATCCAGAGCATTAAGTGTAATTTCTGTCTGCTGCTTCATTGCTGTACTATCAGGATGAGTCACTTCTGACAAGTTAGCCTAAGGCTGCGTTAACATTAGCCTTGTTAGCAAGCGGCAGACAGGCGTTTGGGAAGTGTTTTTACCGTTTCCCAAAAGCCTTGGGAAAATTCTGCACATTGCAGCACATAGTGCTGTTCAAACGGGAGCGTTACGTCGCAGCAAATTGGATGTCTCTGGTCGAGTCAGGAGGAGTTGAAGCCTCCTATTCAAGTCTATGGTGCCGCTCCACAAACGGCCGACGTTTGCGGTGCGGTTACGACGCATTTGCGAGGCGGTAACACCATTCAAACTTCATTATAGGCGTTTGTGGGGCGTTTTTAACGCTTGGCAAACGCTGGACCAACGCTTGTCAAACGCTATAGAGGCATTTGGCAAGAGTTGGAAAAACAGTCAAGTGTGAACGAGTTCTAACACCAAGGAAAAAATGGTGACGGGAGTTACCTCAGAGTAACAGCCTCAGCTCTGTTCCCGTGTCCTGTGTGAAGGGACCTGTGTCCCTTCCCTCCAGTCAGCTCTCAGAGCTCTCCAGAATGTAACTTCAGTCTCTGCCACCTTTTTTTCTGAACTCAGACAAGCTTAAAAAATTCAGCACTTTGAATGGATGTATTATTATTATACAGTATTTATAAAGCGCCAATAGTTCGCTCAGCGCTGTACATTACAAAGGGGGACAGAACATGTGACAGAACAATAACAATACAATGCAAAACATGAGGGGATTGAGAGCCCTGCTCTTTCGAGCTTACAATCTAGGAGGGAGGGGATGGTGGCACAGGAGGAGATAGCTGTGGGGGATGGAGTGGTAGGAAGAGTGGAGGAGGTCGGCAAGTTAGCAGGGGGTGGGGTAGGCTTCCCTGAAGAGGTGGGTTTTCAGGGTGCGCCTAAAGGAGAGGAGAGTAGGTGATAATCTGATGGGTTGGGGCAGGGAGTTCCAGAGGATGGGTGACACCCTGGAGAAGTGGAGGATGTAGAGAAGAGATGGCTGCAGATAGACAGATACAACTTATGTAGGAGAATGTTTCATCTCTGTGTATCATCTGAGACCAGTCACTTCACTTGAGTATATGTAAGGGTTTACAACCACTTTAGGACAGACCCACTTACCTGTCTAGCGCTGTCTTCTTTGCACCCAGTCTTCACAGCTTTGTTAGGTTCCTGTGCCGTCATCTTGGATTTAGAAACTGGTTGTCACTTTCTGATGGCTCACAGCCAGCTCCCAACTGCACATGCACAAGATCAGCCAGCTGGGGTAGACTGGTTCAGTAGCCTGCTGGGATGTGTGACTTGATTCCATAAAGCTGCAGGTTGGGAGGGCAGACTTGGCTCAATATGACTCTCACAAGGGATAATGACGTGGGGGCAATTACCTGCTTAAAAAGGCACTTGCTACCAAAAGAAAAAACACCATATCAAACTGTGTAACAAGGCGGGGGAGGGTTAGGAGGAATACTGTAAGGATGCGGAGTGTAGGTCCGGTTTAGATTCATAAAAATGTTAGTGTTTTTTACAGAATACTCAGTTTATCATTTTTTTTTTCCACCTTTAGAAGCCTTTTGGACCCTAATGAGCCCTTTCTAGTACCTGAATTTCTGCGGCAAGCCATAGATGATTTTCAGAGCTTTTATGATTCAGATATGTTCATGAACAGATATCCAGTGCAAGTTGATGATTCCATGGACCCTGTTCGAGAAACTCTTTATGAGTAAGTCTTTTCTGCCACCTGTTTGATCTACATGTCTCTGGTGGGGTCTGGAGAATATTCATGTTATAATATCCAGGTTGGCCCTGACATCAGATAGAATTTTTTCATGCTAAGTGCCTGAAAGTGAGTAACTTACAAACCATTTCTAGATATATATATTACATCTAAAAGAGATGACTGCACTGTACAATGACAAATCTATCTTTCTCCCCAGAAGGGTGCTCCATTTTTGCCCAAGCATTACCCAGGGTTAGCATCTACTGTCTTGACTGAATTGATGCTTCATCATTATTATTATTATTAATATACAGTATTTATAAAGCGCCAATAGTTCGCTCAGCGCTGTACATTACAAAGGGGAAAAGAACATGTGACAGAACAATACCAATACAATGCAAAACATGAGGGGATTGAGGGTCCTGCTCTTTCGAGCTTACAATCTAGGAGATAGATGATCTAGGCTTCATAGATGATATCGCCTTGTTAATGCTTATGCCCTTGCAGCAGCCTTTGTTTTTTTTTTTTTTGAAAGTGTGCAGACATACAGTATTTTGCACAGCTTAGCCGTATTCTGCTGCTGCCTGTAACTTTGTGACCACCCAGCCACTGACTGACACAGCTCAGCCCCATTCTTCTGCCTCTCATTCTGTTACCAGCTAGTGTAAAAAAAAAACAAATACAGACAGATACGACTTGGCCAATTTGCCTCCTCTCTATAACCAGCCAATGAAAAATCCATCACAGTCTGACACAGCTTGCTTACTCTGCTTCTTTTCTGTGGCTAGCCCAGTGTAAAATCAGTCTGATGCAATCCAGCTCTTTGGCTGTTGCCTTTCATTCTGATAATACCCAGTGTAAAGTCAATCACTGTCTGACACAGCTTTGCCTAGGGGTGCTCAACCTTTTGAAGAGCTAGGGCCACTTAAGTGATTTGGTAGCCAGTCGTGAGCCACAAAGAAATGAAATGGTTGAGACTTTTGATTATTTTTTTTTTTTTTTTTAATTTAGCATAATGAACATTTTCCTCCTGTAGAATGCTGGAAGGAGTGGAGGAGAAGCTGGCTCTCAGCAGTTGCAGGAGGAAAATGGCCCTTCTGTTCAAGTATAAAGCAGAATGTGAAATGGAGGTGGCATTGTGACCCATGATGCCTACATCGGTGGTTGGGGTGTGTGGTAAAAACACGTCTCAACGAAGGGGTTTTACAGCCCCACAAGCTGCAAATGTAAACAAGCCCTTGTTGTCCTGAGCCCCCTATAAGGCTGCTTTCACACTGATGCACTGCGGTTTACCTGCATTGTGGGTGCAGTGCACTTGCACCTTTCCTGTGGATTAGCTGTGTTTTGCCATAGACTTTATTAGATCTTGCAGATGTGGTGCACTTTCTGAAAGCACACCCATACTCCTGCATTCAGTATGAAGTCGAGGGCCACATCAGCGGGCTCAGAGACCAGATTTAGCACCCCTGGCTTAGCCCTTTTGCCGTTGCCTTTCACTCTCTCACCAGCTAGTGTAAAAATCCATCTCCATCTGATAAAGGATATATAGTTGCCTGTTACATTGACACTTGCCAAAAGTTAGTCTGTGCTAATGATTCGGAGGGGCAGGATGAGGAAATGCAACAGTATTTTAAGTATCTATGTGGTTTATTCTCCCTGCTTAGGTATTTTTCGCAAATATTGGAAGAACATGGACCCCTCAACTTAGATGATGAAATTCTGATCGGGGAGTACAAAAATTTCCCAGAGGAAACTCAAAGGATGGTAGAAGCATCCGGTGGACTAAAGGATTTTCTCTTGGAGTCGTTATTGTTTTCTATGGAAGGAGACATGGTTACGCTAACAGGTTATGACCTTCCATACTTGGATCATGATGGAAGTGGACACCAACTGAACCCAACTGCTGAGGAGTTCCAGCCTTCATTCTGTACACCTTTACCCGATGATATTGACCTGTATTCGGACTCCAGTCAATTTAAACCTAAACATTTTAGTTCCAGAACAGCTGATGCCAGTCACCCTTCAATCCAACATAGTGATATAACCTTTAATTATAATGAATATTCCGATATATGTAATAATCTTGATCACCGAACTTTTGACTCGTCTGACAATCCCAACTCTGATATAGACCAGGAACATGATGATGATGATTTTACGATTTCAGATAGCATATTTGACAGTGACTCTGAATCATCTTCTATAGATCAGGATATAACACCAAGTGAAAATACATCAGTAAGCCAAGAAAATCTTCATACAGATCAGCTGGACTCTACTATTAATCAGTCCCTTGGCAGTGAAAGCCAGCCAAGGAATAAACGCACCGCTATAGTATCTGTACAGGTAAGGAGGCTTCATTGCTTTTCCAAGACTAGAAATAGTTGGAGTGAAATTCCAACTATACACCCAACTAGCCTTAAAGAGAGAGTTCACTTTTTAAAAAAAAAAAAATACATTCCCCCCGGGGTAATCTATTTTACATTGCAGGGATTTTAACACACACTGTTGCAGATTCCTACCTTTTGTTATTCTGAAGAGATAGCTGTTTGTGTCTATGTGGAAAGTGAATCTGTAGGGGAGTGACTTCATAATTACCAATCAGTGGCTGCTCCTGCAGGGCTCTAATGAGGAAAGTGGCCGGATCTGCAAAAATTACGTTTTTGTTGCAGATGATGCCTGAAATCTGATTTGTATCTTCGTGCAAACTTCTTGGAAAATCAGTGAGCCAATCACACAAGCAGGAAATGCTGTGTCTGGGGGGCATTCTGTATACATTTTGTGTACAGAACACCTCCAGGTGGCCATATTGCATTGCCTTTTAAAGAAAATTACAGCACTGCAGATTGAAAAGGAAAGGTAGTTTAAGTAACATTTAATTACCATATAACTTGTGTCGCTATTGTGTATGCTATTATTATTTTAATTTTTTTGCTAATTTTTTTCCCATGGAAGTGGAGATACCCTTTAAAACAACTTGCCTACCGGGCTCTTTTACCCCCTTCCTGCCCAGGCCAATTTTCAGCTTTCAGCACTGTTGCACTTTGGGTACAGTGTTGCATGACCGCGCAATTGTCATTCAAACAAAAGTTTTATCATTTTTTTGAGACCGATAGAGCTTTAGTTTGGTGGTATTTAATAACCACTGGGGTTATTAAAAAAAAAAGGCTGAAAAAAGGTTTTTTTCTTAGTTTCTGTTATAAAATTTTGTAAATTAAGTCATTTTTCTCCTTCGCTGATGGGCACTGATAGGCGGCACTGATAGGTTTAACTGATGGGCATGAACAGATATCACTGATGGGCACTGAAAGGCAGCACTCATATATGGCACTGATAGGTGGCACTGATCGGAACTGTTAGACGGCAGTGACGGGCATCACTGATGGACACTGATATGTGGCATTGATGTGCACTGGTAGGTACTGAAATGTGGCATTGATGGGCACTGACAGGTGACACTGATGGGGCTACACTGATCATCAGGGCACTGATAATCAGTTCCCTGATGATCAGTGTAGATGTCCGCTCTGAGTAATGCTGATTACTGGTTCTCCTTTCTTCACGAGCTGTCAGCGGGAGGAGAGAACTGCCAATAACCGGCATTTCCTTGTTTACATGTGATGAGCTGTGATTGGACACAGCTGATCACATGACAGAGCTGACGTCATGTAAAGTGAACAGTGTTTCAGCTATGTGCCATTCAAGGCAAACTGACAGGTTCTCTTGATAGTCTATTTTCCTGCTGATACTTACTGTCCTGTGCTCCCCTACCACTCTTTTCACCTTTCCAGTGGTCTGAGTAATAAGCCCCGTATAAGTTCAGTGCTGGTCTGTATCAGAGATTACACAGGTCTAAGGATCCTTCGCCCTGCTCCATAATGACAGTGCCAGACTTAGAGATTGTTCATTTATAAACACTGAGCACTGCATTATGGGAGGAAAAGGAGAAGGTTTTGTTCTGCACCATACCCTGAAGTACCTGTTGTTTCCTATGGCTGTGGCTGTTGAGGGATATGTCAGAGGAGTGTATTAAAGTGATCGTAAACCTCAGACATGAAATATGAACAAAGCATATTCCTCTGTAGTCTGTACTTGTCTCCATCCAGAGCATGAAGTGTAATTTATCTCTGCTGCCTCGTTCTATTGCTATCAGCATGAATCACTTATGACAGGTTTTTCTGACACCATATTGACAGCCTCAGCTCTGTTCCTATGTGAAAGGGGGGGGGGGGGGGCCCTTCCCTTCCCTCCAGTCAGCTCTCACTGAGCTCTGCAGTGTGTAATTACAGCTCTCCGCCCCCTTTTTTCTGACAGCTCAGACAAGCTTTATAAATTTGACACTTTGAAAGGATGTAGATAAGAGGAAAAAAAAAAAAAATCTCTCCTGCAAGGAGCATAATGTGCTAGTATGTATCACATACTAACACATATGAAAGACTTACCTGAAAACGAATTCCTCCAGCGGAGCGTTGTCCCGGCTCCCCAAGGCTTCCATCTTCACCTGTTCTTTATTCTGGGTTCGCGGGCAGCAGCCTTTTTTACTGGCGGAGTCGGGAATGTTACTCCCGTGCATGTACAGGTGAAACTCGAAAAATTAGAATGTCGTGCAAAAGTTCATTTATTTCAGTAATGCAACTTAAAAGGTGAAACTAATATATGAAATAGACTCATTACATGCAAAGCAAGATAGTTCAAGCCGTGATATGTCATCATTGTGATGATTATGGTTTACAGCTCAAGAAAAACCCCAAATCCACAATCTCAGAAAATGAGAATATTGTGAAAAGGTGCAATATTCTAGGCTCAAAGTGTCCCACTCTAATCAGCTAATTAAGCCATAACACCTGCAAAGGGTTCCTGAGTCTCTCAGTCTGGTTCAGTAGGAATCAAAATCATGGGAAAGACTGACCTGACAGTTGTGCAGAAAACCATCATTGACACCCTCCATAAGGAGGGAAAGCCTCAAAAGGGAATTGCAAAAGAAGTTGGATGTTCCCAAAGTGCTGTATCAAAGCACATTAATAGAAAGTTATGTGGAAGGGAAAAGTGTGGAAGAAAAAGGTGCACAAGCAGCAGGGATGACCGCAGCCTGGAGAGGATTGTCAGGAAAAGGCCATTCAAAAGTGTTGGGGACTTTCACAAGGAGTGGACTGAGGCTGGAGTAAGTGCATCAAGAGCCACCACACACTGATGGATTCCTGGACATGTCATATTCCTGTTGTCAAGCCGCTCCTGAACAACAAACAACATCAGAAGCGTCTTATCTGGGCTAAAGAAAAACAGACCTGGTCTGTTGCTCAGTGGTCCAAAGTCCTCTTTTCTGATGAGAGCAACTTTTGCATCTCATTTGGAAACCAAGGACCCAGAGTATGGAGGAAGAATGGAGAGGCACACACTGCAAGATGCTTGAAGTCCAGTGTGAAGTTTCCACAGTCTGTGTTGATTTGGGGAGCCATGTCATCTGCTGGTGTTGGTCCACTGTGCTTCATTAAGTCCAGGGTCAACGCAGCCGTCTACCAGGAGATTTTTGGAGCACTTCATGCTTCCTTCCGCAGACGAGCTTTATGGGGATGCTGACTTCATTTTCCAGCAGGACTTGGCACCTGCCCACACTGCCAAAAGCACCAAAACCTGGTTCAATGACCGTGGGATTACTGTGCTTGATTGGCCAGCAAACTCGCCTGACCTGAACACCATAGAGAATGTATGGGGCATTGCCAAGAGAAAGATGAGAGACATGAGACCGAACAATGCAGAAGAGCTGAAGGCCGCTATTGAAGCATCCTGGTCTTCCATAACACCTCAGCAGTGCCACAGGCTGATAGCTTCCATGCCACGCCGCATTGAGTCAGTAATTGCTGCAAAAGGGGCCCAAACCAAGTACTGGGTACATATGCATACTTATACTTTTCAGAGGTCCGATATTGTTCTATGTACAATCCTTGTTTTATTGATTGCATGTAATATTCTAATTTTCTGAGATTGTGGATTTTGGGGTTTTCATGAGCTGTAAGCCATAATCATCACAATTATGACAAATCACGGCTTGAACTATCTTGCTTTGCCTGTAATGAGTCTATCTCATATATTAGTTTCACCTTTTAAGTTGCATTACTGAAATAAATGAACTTTTGCACGATATTCTAATTTTTCGAGTTTCACCTGTATGTATGCATGACTCTCTCAATAGATGGCACGCCGTCCATTGAGAGCGCAGTACGCATGCACTGGTGACATCACTGGCGCTGCCGCAGTAAATATCTCATAAATGGTGCGCGTTTAGGAGATATTTACAGTACCTACAGGTTAGCCTTATTAAATGCTTACCTGTAGGTAAAACATAAAAAATAGGGTTTACTTCCACTTTGACCACTTGTTGACCGCGCTAACGCTGAACGACTGCTGCAGCGCAGTTGTCCAGTTCTGGGAGGCTGATCACACGGCACGGTAAAGGGCCAATCACAGCAGCTTTTTATTATGTGATCAGCTGTGTCCAATCACAGCTGATCACGATGTAAACACACTTGCCAGTTATCGACAGTACTTTCCTCACACTGCCACAGGATGAAGAAAGTACTGCCAATAACCTGCAAGTGTGAAGAGACATCTACACTGATTAGTGCAGCCCCATCAGTTTCCAGCAGTGCTGCCAATCTGTGCCTATCAGTGCCCATCATTGCCATCTATCAGTGCCGCCTCATCAACACACATCAGTGAAAGAGAAAAATTACCTGTTTGCAAAATTTTATAATAAAAACCAAGAAAAAAGTTTTATTTTTTTTCAAAACAAAACTCTATTTGTGTGATAAAAATTATAAAATTTCATATAGGTAGAGTGTTGCATGACTGGGCAATGGTCATTCAAAGTGCGACAACACACTGAAAGCTGAAAATTGGCTTGGGCAGGATGGTGGTAAAATTGCCAGGTAGGCAAGTGATTAAACAATGTCACTTTTTGCTCTGTAAACTTGGGGTTGGTAAACTTTTAGTAGCAATGAATTGCACAAAATGTGGCCTGAGGGAACTTTCTCCAGCCTTACACTTAGCACTGTTAATTTCTGCTAGATTTTTTTTTTAGAATTGAGATTTTGCAAATCACAATAAATTGTAGGAAATGACACAATGTTAAATGATCTCTCGATGTTTTCAATGAATGCATCAAGGGATGATATGTTTTAAAAAGGCATTCTCAGAAAAAAAGAACAGCTTACAATGAGACACGATAAAGTGGTTATAAAGGCTAACATAAAAAGTTATCCTTGTATGCTTTGTGGAATGGCATTGCACAGAGCGGTCTATTACCTCCTCTTCTGGGGTCTCCCGCTGGCACTTTCCGAACCTTCTCTTCTGCAAGCCTCCCCGTCTGGGGTCACATGGTCAGGCTCATTTCCAAGTTGGACTGTGTGCATCCATAGACACACACAACACTACTCTGCCCCACTCACTTCTCTCCGGATTTGATTGACAGCAGCAGGAGTCAATGACTCCTACTTCTACCTCTGTGCCCTGTGAGAAGAGGAAGAGGGGAGAACGCCACTGCAGACGGGCACATGGATCGAGAGAGGACTAAATGTTTAGGAAGGGGGGAATATTTATTTATTTCAGGTACTTATATAGCGCTGTCAATTTGCGCAGCGCTGTACATATATATTGAACATTCACATCAGTCCCTAACCCTCAAGGGGCATACAGTCTAAGGTCCCTAACTCACATTCATACATACACATACTAGGGACAATTTAGACAGGATCCAATTAACCTACCAGCATGTCTTTGGAGTGTGAGAGGAAACTGGAGCACCCGGAGGAAACCCATGCAAACTCCATGCAGGAGGCGCCATGGTCGGGAATCGAACCCATGACCCATTTACAGCAAGGCAGACATGCTAACCACTAAGCCACTGCCCCATATATAACTATTGGTTGGCATTAAGGTAAAAATATCTTGAATTTTTAAACACTTAGGGCACTTGGAATAGTTTGCGTTGGATCATTACGGTGTTTGCAGCTATTGCCAGATGTCCGTATAATGAACCAGGACTCCTGCAGAGCTAACTGCATGTCAGCACAGGCACCCATACTGTGGGATTCAAAATGCAGATGAATCCACCCTATCCTGCAAAAGGCCCCGAGGTCCGTAAAGTGCTAGCATGATCAAGGAGACACTCATTTGGCGGTATCTAGGTTCACTAGCATTGTCTAAGTTTTTGCAAACTAGAGGCAAGTTTCTGAAAGTTTATGTATACTAATTTTTTTTTTTTTGTTTTATTATTTCAGGTAAATATAGAAATGTCACATTGTGAAGTAAATACAGATGCCTTTCATCCCTTTGAGTCTCAACAGGTAAGATGCTTCATGGACAGAACCCTAACTTTGTTTTCCTGATGACTTGATTTTTCTACCTTTTTACCCTTCCACTGTCAAACAGGTCTGATTAAGCAGGTCACCTCCCTGGTTCAGCAATGCAACCTCTATAACTCCAGCCATCTCATTAGACAGTGAATCGGCATCATGGCCTCAGTCCACTGATCAGGGAGCTAACCCAAAAGCCAGAATAGTAAACCAGGAAAATTGTATTATCAATCCGTGCTGACAGTGTCGAAGACTTGTGTTAGGTCTTGTGTTGATGGCTTCAGATTAACCACCTCCCGTCCAGCCGTTGCATATAAATGGCCCGGACGGTGGCAGTGCAGGGTCGGGTGGCCGTTCATAAACGTGGCTCCCCGCACCCTGCTTGTGCGCGCTCCCTCGGAGCGCGCAGCAGCACCGCGATCCGGTGCCCACTGTGTCCGGAGGACACAGTGAAACACCCGATCGTCGGACGGGACCTCTGTACGAGGTCCCGATCATGTGATCACTGATTGGCCAATCTTGTGACATCATTGCTTACTACGTGTGAAATCTGTGAATGATCACAGAGGTCACATGGTACAAGGCTATTCACAACAGCCTTGTACCATGTGACAAGCTGTGACCAATCACAGCTCACTCAGTACTTCTCAATGAGTGCAGGAATACACACAGAGAGAAAGAGAAATGATTGCTTTTACATCCTATATGGGTGTAAAAGCAATCAGTGTAAAAAAAAAAAAAAAAATCTTCATCACCCCCCACAAGTAGTACAGTGTCACCATGGTGACACTGTACTGCTAGGGTGACAGTATGTAAAAAAAAATTAAAATAATATAAAAAAAATAAAATAAAAATGTGTAAAAAAAATTTTTAAAAAATTATAATTTTTGGTTATAAACTAATTTGGATTTTTTTTTTTACTAAAAAGATAACGGAATACATTTTGGCAAAGATTTATGATGAAATATTATTTATTTGCAAAATATTATAAAACAAAACACTTATTTTCAAAATTTTTGGACATTTTCGTTTACATAGCAAAAAAAAATAAAAAATCCCAGCGGTGAATAAATACCACCAAAATAAAGCTTTATCTGTCTCAAAAAAATGGTAAAAAATTCATTTGGGTACAAATGCGCAGTTGTCATTCAAAGTGTGATAGCGCTGAAAGCTGAAAATTGCCCTGGTCAGGAAGGGGGTGAAAGTGTTCGGACAGGAAGTGGTTAACGTCCGTTCGAGATCATTCAGAAATCATTGATAGGTGCATTTGACCTGAAGTTCCCTTCCTTCTGATCTGCGTTTTGGCCTGATTCAAGTGAGTTTTGCATTTCGATAGACCTGTATGGGAATGTAAAACCAACATGAAGCGATCAAAAGCCTAATGATACATACCTTAATAGTGTTCACAAATATCCAGAGGCATTTGACTTTCCCCAAATCAGAACCTCGCTTGCCTAAAACAAAGAGCACCATGTGCACAAATAGAAATTTTTTTAAAAAACACTCCAAATGTTGTCTCAGATGCGATTCTCATATGAAACCACATAAATAACAGCTAAAACACTCACAAACATAAAAAAGGCAATCCGTCATCAATCCACACTACTGCTATGGCGTCACACCACAAAAACTCTGCTCTACGTGTTTCACCCTACAAGGCCTCTTCAAGGTTTGTGATGTAATGATTAAGCCCTGGTTCACATATATGCAATTTGCAATGCGTTTTCTACAAAGCGATTCAGATGACATTGGGAATTGCATGTGTTTCTTTATAGGGTGTTCACATGTGTGGTTGATCCACTGTGTTTTTTTTTTTTTTTTTTTTTGAAAAGAGCCTTGTGCAACTTTTGGACAGTGCCATGCAAATCTGTGCAAGTCATTGGGAAGTGTCAGAAGGCAATGCCTTTTTGCTTAGAGACCAAAAACCACTATGAACATGACAGATTCAAAAACGTATTCAAAAATCGCATCAAAAATGCACTACCATTCAATCACAAATGCATATGATTCGCAATGTGCAATTGCACTACAAAACCTGAGCGATTTCGCAACGCATATGTGTGAACTTAGGCTTACACTGCTACTTTATAAGTTGTCAGGCACAGGAACTACCTACCTGCCACTGCATTGCCTAACCCTCATATACCACCTTAGCATATAAATACAAAAATATGGTATAATCCAGGTAATAGTATTACAAAGTTGACATCACTCTTCGGTAATAATATATTGATATTTATATGAATATTTTAAAACGAGAAGTACAGTGTAAGTGAAGGGATGGACGCTGCTCAATCAATCCCAGGAATCCAATTTTGTGGAATGGCCTCAGCAGCCTCTGTGACCAAGCCCCAGCGGGTGGGGCGAAACGCATCAGCGGGCATGGCCAGAATGGCGGCTGAGACCATTCCTCAACATTGGATTCCTGGGGTCGGATGAGCAGCGTCCATCTCTTCACTTGTATGGGCTGACACTGGAAATGCTGAGACTCGTGCTCCCCTTTTCTCACTTGCCGGTGGGGTGACCCTTCTACTTCCATCCATAGCTTGGAGCGGCACCATAGGCTATATTTTTCACCAGGAAGTACAATGACTTAGTGATTGGCAATTCTGCTTTGCAGCACAGAGGTCTCTGATTCAAATCTCAGTCAGGACATTATCTGCATGGAGTTTGAATGTTCTTGTGTTTCCATGGGTTTGTCTCCAAGTAGTTTGGTTTCCGCCCACACTTAAGACATGCTGGTAGATTTATTGGCTCCTGTCTAAATTGGCCCAGTATGTGTATGCAGTGTGTGACTAGTCAAAACTAGTGTGAATGTCCAGTATGTAAAGCACTGTGTAAATTGTCAGCACTACACTGAATAAATGCCTGTAATACATAAATCGCGGGTGAGGTTGATGAGTAGAAGTGATGCATGATTCCTGAGAATGGCTAGCCAAACTTACAAATCCTTTGGCAAATAAAACAACTGTTTGCCTGGGGTTCCACTTGAAGGCCTCATTCACACCATATGTGCAGAAAAACTAAGGGAAACTGATGCTCAGTTTTCACTTGCAGAGATATCCGTTTTCATGCGTACTTCAATGAGTTTTATACATGCTGCAGATTCCTGCACAGAAAAAAATCTGTACGTGATACTAGTGTTGTGCTGCGAACAGGGCACTTTGAGAACAATTGATTTTATTGTCCTCTTGCAGAAAAACTGATATCTCTGCACCATTATGTGAACGAGCCCGAAGGATTAGAGACTCTAATCATTAGAGACAATTTTCATTTTTTTACTTTTTTTGGGAACTTAAAGGAGAACACCATTATTAAAAAATGTAAGAGTACCCCAGCAGTAATAAAATTTTAAACTTTTTAGCTTTATTCTGCTACTTTCTCTTGCAGAAGGTCCAATTCTCCAGCAGATGGCGCTCCTCTTCAATAGCCAGCATCATTGAACTGATTTTCAGTGCTTATGTCCTGAGTGGCATGCTCATGTCAATAAGTGAGCATAGGTCATTTCAGGAGAAAAGGCCCTTCTGACATCTTCAGACTGGCCAGAATGCCCTTTGGGTGTTAGAGGAAGGTCTTCAGCACTGTTATCCTTGGTGCTGTAAAAACAAACAGATGTTTAATCATTAATCCAAAGCAAAGGTAAAATTGTAGCTATCTGAAAATGAAGTATGTGCTGTCATTGGAAGAGAAAGGTCCACTAGTACAGGAAGCCCCCCTGCTTTGACGTTGACTCTGGTTTGGCGTACCTGCAGAATTAATTTTCTTGCTTCACAGTAACCCATTTACAATAGATGGTGTTTCTAATGTGAACTTGTACCATCCAGACGTTACCTTCTTCTGTGACACTGACCGAAAACTAGCCATTGGCATTTACTACTGTTCCAGATTAATATCTATGATTTTGTGCTTTTATTTCAGGGGGATATTTTGCGTATGGAAAAGGAGCAGACAGCACTAATAGAGCAACTGAAAGAAGCAACTGAGAAATATGAGAGCTTGAAGAGCCGCTGCCAGGAGGAGATAGCTGTCCTAGAAGAGGAGATAAAGCAATCTGTAGAGTGTAGCAAGGTAGTTTTTTTTTTTTTTTTTTTTTGCTGGGATCACACTTAAAAACATACATTTTAATAGCATGTGTACTTTTAATAGCAGGCAAATGGGGACTAGCATGCAAGTCCATGTTAGTGCCTAGAGATAATCATACAGTTCTTCATGCTGTATGGAGCTCTGCGTCTGAGTGAATGAGCCCCAACTTTGTCCAAAACTAACAAATACATGTTGGCAGGATTTAGGTTTTAAAGGATTATAGATGGAGGATGATGAAAAGAGTTTCACATGATGAGATCTTAAAAAAAATTCAAACCGAGAAAAAGTTTTGGAAAAATTATGTATTAAAGTGTTACTAAACCCAGGACCATACATTCATAAAAAATAAACTGCTAAATACAGGTTTCTCATCAGCAGTTCAAGCAGTCTTGTGACTTCTATCACTATCTTGCAGAGCATGTTAAAGCTTGTAGGAGGAGTTTTCTTTCTGCTCTAGCAGGATGCAGGACCCTGACCTCTGTCTGGACAGTGTTGATTGGCCCTCTGCTGATCACATGCACTCTCCCCAGAAAAAAAACAAAATCTCTCCAGCAATACATGCTAAACTGAGCATGAGCAGATAGTCTCCACACAATGTCTTATCAGGAGATATGAGGGGGACACTGGGCACCAAACTGAGCATGTGCAGCTTGTTCCCAAGGCTCTGTTCTATCAGTAGACGGATTAGGGACAGTAGAAGGGGACGATCAGAAAAGACAGGATCAAACAGCGTTTTTACACAGTGTAAAGGATTAACCCCTCAGGTTTCACAGTGAGTATAATAAGCATGCTTTACTGATTATACAGACTGATTTTACTGTTGTGGGTTTATTAACACTTTAATGGTTTTCTTGTAATAAGTATACAAAATAAATTCAGTGAAAATAAAATGTAGACTCCCTTGGAAAAAACCGTGCAAAGCTTTGCTTTAATGATGGCAAAGAAACGAGGCTGGTGGCTGTACATCCGATAAAAACCACCTTTGTTAAATTTATCCAGATACAATCCTTATGCAGTAGGGAAAAAGAGGACCAGCTGGGCTTCTGTTTCCCTACTGTATGTGGATTGTATCTGAGTAAATGTAATAAAGGTGGTTTTTATCGGATGTGCGGCCACCAGCCTTGTTTCTTTGCCATGAAGACTGCAACGGGCAGGGCCAGTACCTGAGTGTGCATGGAAGTAGCATAGGTGGAGACCGACTTGGAGTGGTGTTTCTTGTAATGACCCTTGGAAATCTGCTTTTTATTCTCTTATAACAACTGTTGACTTCAAACATAAAGGCTATGTTCATCTTTTTAAGTAAAAAATAAATGCATGTATTTTTGCAGGTAAAAAAAATGTGCATTTATTTTTTTTGTTTGCAAAGGTGACTGCTAAGTATTGCACTTGTGATTAGTGTATCACGGGTGTGATGTCTGGCTACTGCGCACACTCACTCCAGCTTTCTGCTCATACCTCTGTATGGGCTTTCAGATAGAAAGCTGGATGAAGATTCAGTGGACTTACGAGTACACTGATCAGCACATTTGTAGTTCGAGAAGTTCTGAGCTCTTAGTATTCCCCCCATCCTGTGCCACCTCCACTGACTTCACCATCAAGATCGATAACACAATCATCAGTCCCTCCCCTCATGCCAGGGTACTAGGTGTAATTTCTAGACTCCCATCTGTCCTTCCAGCCCCAAATCCAATCACTGGCAAAATCATGTAGACTTCACCTCTGCAACGTATCCAAGATACGACTGTTCCTAACCCTGGAAACCACTAAGCAACTTATTCACTCCCTTGTCATATCATGCCTCGACTATTGTATCTCCCTCATTGGCCTACCTCATCGCAGGCTATCCCCACTTCAGTCTACCATGAATGCTGCTGCCAGACTCATCCACCTTACCAACCGTTCTGTATCTGCCACCCCTCTCTGCCAATCCCTCCACTGGCTTCCAGTTGCCCAACGAATAAAATTCAAAACACTAACACCGATATATAAAGCCGTTCATAACTCTGCCCCCAATTACATCACCAATCTTGTCTCTAAATATCACCCAAACCATACTCTCCGCTCCTCGCAAGACCTCCTGCTCTCTAGCTCCCTTGTCTACTCCTCACATTCTCGCCTCCAGGACTTCTCCAGGGCTTCCCCCATCCTCTGGAACTCCTTACCCCAATCTATCAGACTATCGCCTACTCTGCTGACTTTTAGGCGATCACTGAAAACCTAACTCTTCAGGGAAGCCTATCCCGCCCTCTGCTAATACTGGAATCCTCTACTCTTCCAACCACTCCATCCCCCACAGTTATTACCTATTGTACCACTAACCCCTCCCTCCTAGATTGTAAGCTCCAAGGAGCAGGGCCCTCAAATCCCTCTTGTTTTGAACTGTATTGTTACTGTATTGTTTCCCACTATAATGTAAAGCGCTGAGCAAACTGTTGGCGCTATATAAATCCTGTATAATAATAGTCTGTCTGGCAGAAGGGACTTGTAGTTTATTCATTCACAGATCTCTGTTAATGAAAGATACAGCTGTACAGTCAGATCCCCGCACCAACACACCAATGTTAGATGTGCCTCCCCTCCCAATAGGTGAAGAGGAACCTCCACCCGCTATCGTGAAGGGAGGAGGGGGGTGAGTTGTGTGCTGGAACATGTTATATGTTACACCCTAAATACGAGTGTAACGCATAACATGTTCAAAAGGTCAACCTGTCCTTTAACCCAGTAAATTACCGCACTGTCACTTTAAGTTTGCTAATGCAAAAACGCGCTTTGCACAATGTAAATAAATTACTACCAAATTATTTTGTGCTTAAAACACTGAAAAGTGCAGTAAATACATGAAAAAAAAAGTTTCTTAAATTCATACATAATTTTGCAAATTCAAATCACATTGAACCCCCCTGGAGGTATTCCCGAGTGTAGCTCGTGGTATAGTTTCATTACCAAAAGCGGTAACCCCGAGCTACACTCGGGAATACACTGCATCGTTGTTCAGGGATTCCTTCTTGCACTTACCTTGTCCTGCGCTCCCGCGACGTCCCCCTGCAGTGTCCCTGGCCATCTCTTCTGGCCGATGCCGACATCCGTCTTCCAGGTTTCATTCCCTGCGAGCGTCGGGATGTACGGGAGATGGAACCGGCGGGATATTCAAAAATTTTAAAAGTGACATTCACGAAGTACGCTTAAATCACATAGTATTCCATTACTGTATCAAACCATTTCACATACATTTTGTCCCGAGTGCTTTGTCCTGTGCCCTGCCTGCATTTTTACTGTTCTTTCTGCCTGGAAACTGAGAAACGTCCATGGCGTCCAAAAAGCGTCCCTTTACGTCAAAAGCGGTTTTAGACCGGCTAGAGAACAGCGATAGTAAATCAGAAGCACTTGCAGAATTGAGTGATAATGATTTGTGGTGGGGGAAATTCCTCATCAGACACTGAAAATGATTTTGCGACTTTGCTCAGCGATGTGCGAATTTGCTTCTGTATTTCAAATTTCAGTGTTTGATTATATTATTGAATTAAATTTATTATTATATTATTTTTTTTATGATTATTTATTACATTATAATTTATGATTTCGTGTTTCAAATTTTATCCTACCCGGGATGTTTACTAGACTCTTGTTCGGACAGATTTCAGTGAGTTATTCCTAAAAATGACAGCCTACAATAAACTACATATTTCCATGCAAAAAAATGGTACCGCTTTCAGCACAAAAAATCAGAAATAATCAGACCGCCGAGGAGGTTAACTATATAAAGTCCACAAGTTACAAGGCTGACCAGTGCTGTGAAAATCCTAGGTGATATAGCGTGTCATCTTATGTGTCGCCACCTCCACCTGTTCAGAACGCTTACCAAAGGATGTTAACCTCCAAATTATAAGAGATGCAGCAGGAAATGAATATTCCACAGTCTACACAGCAACAATCTGGCTCTCCTTGATGGCTCTCCGTATCAAATCACAGGCTCCAGTGTGTCACCACCAGGAAACCACTTGTATCAAAAAAGGCAAGTGTATCAGGCGTAATAATACAGCATCGCGGCTCAACAGCTGTGTGCGCAATGACATCACAGGCTATGCCCAGTGTGTTTCATGTCAAAACACTTCATCTGAGGACAGGAGACAGCTTATCCCTTTAGTTGCATATCATTGAGAGCTATGAGAAGATGCCTGGGGGACTTCAACTTCTAAGCAGCTTGCAGTGGACACAGGCCACAGTCATAAAAAGAGTGCAACAGGAGGTTTCTTTTTCTCCATGTGACTGGTCCCCTAAAGCCTCTTCTCGTCTGTGTTCTGTGCTGTTAATCCTTACACTGTTCTTCAGCTTCATTCGTCAGTAAAGACTCCTATCTCCCTCTCTCCTGGCGCACGAGGAAGCATCTATCTCTGGATCCATACAGAAGTTTAAATCACCAGCCGCAATCACACTACCCCTTTTAAAGTCTGGTAGAAGTATATGGAATTTTGGACTATGTCGACATTCCCTTTTTCCAGCAACCACAGTTGATTCTTTTGTCTGGCTCAAACAAGCTTTTTAAATTCTGGACTTTGAATGGATGTAGACAAGAGAAGAATACAGAAAAACAGCCCCCTTCCCCTAAAGGTGCATTTACAAGTGGATTCACAGTTGAATGTATGATCCCCCCTATGGCTGAAATCCGTACTGCAGGATGTAGTTAATCTGATGTGTTTACACACTGCTGGAGAGAGGCAACCTGAACTGGTTGGATGACATCTGGTGACGCCACCCCACCTGACGACTTCCCACCTGACGACTTCATCCGCATGCAGAGTTCCTGTCCCCAGAGCACCTTGGAGTAGGTCTTATATACTCCAACGCACAAGAACTTGTGCTATCTGGTTAGTGCATTGTATGCTCATTCTTCACAGCCACGGAAGTCACGAAAGTTTAACAGTTACTCATTGAACCACTATGGTCACACTGCACCTTATAAACTATACCTAAGACTTAACTTCAGTTGATCATTATTTTTTTTTTTATCATTTGCACACTTTAGCGCCGCATTTTACTGTTTTATTTGCATACTTTGGAGGATTTGAGGTTTTTCCTCTTCTGTGCTGGCTGCTTCCTTTCTCTATACTACCCAGCGCTCATATGCTACTGTTTATACATCACAGGCTATGCCCAGTGTGTTTAGTGTCAAAACACTTCATCTGAGGACAGGAGACAGCTTATCCCTTTAGTTGCATATCATTGAGAGCTATGAGAAGATGCCTGGGGGATTTCATCTTCTAAGCAGCTTGCAGTGGACTGCTATACACATAGGAAGTTCTGTAATCACCCTCTTACCGGTATCTTACCAGTCTTCATTCCCAACACTTGTTTTCCTCCTGCAGGTTGCAAAATTGGACCTGAATTTGATTCAGCAGGATTATGAAAATAAGGCCAAGAAATGGCATCAAGAGAAGAAGGAAAACCAGGAGAAAATTAAGTCTCTTAAAAATAATATTAAGATGACTACAGATGCCAGTGACAGGTGAGAACTTGGGTTTTACTTTTCTGTACATAATCATGCTATTTATCAGTGTGGCATGTAATGTCACATATTTTAGTCCATTCGTTCCAGTGTTCTCATGAGGGGATTTTATTGGGAAATCTGCCTAGGTGTTTCTGATGGCCACTTGGCTTCTGCACAGCTTCACCTCCTGATCCCTCTATATGGTACCTGGGCTTTCCCAGCTCCTGTGTGAGCCAGGACCTCTGCAGGGGGTTTCAGGATGGAGAGCACAAGGACATAGATTTAATGAACCCAGAAGGGCTCATTCCTGACCAATTCCAGATTCAGAACTGTTCGAATCTATGGCAGTAGATCTAAGACTCTCATGTACCTGATCTGTATGGGCTAGAGGCCTTAGGATTGCATTACAGTCCTGATGTCTCCATAAAGAGTACCTGTCACTTCCCGTATACAGTCACTTATGTGATTTCCCATACACACACTGGCAGCTGCCAGTAATTTTTTTTTAGAGCTGCCAAAAATATTCATAATTCTTCAGTTTTGGTCTGGTTTATTTATGTGTCTAGGTGGCGAAAAATTCACAGATGAATTCTTATGACAAGTGAAAATACACTTTTCAGTGGCAGCCATTACTGTGTGACTCAAGTCGCAACCACTTTTCCAGAGGTTCCTGCACTGCTTTGATGCTACTATGAATTCTTTAGACTCTAATGTCGTATGCTAGTTGCACCAGAAATCGCACAACTGTGGGGTCACAGCAGTTTGAACTTGAGGCCTTGAAGTGTCAGATTGTAACATGTTCCATTGATAATACTACAAATGCATATCAAGTTGTTTGAGTTTGTCTAATTTTGGACACAGACCTCTGCAACACCAGTCCAATCCAACTGAAATGTTGCTCTGTTATGTTAAACACTGCAGTTTGCCATTTTCTCTCATCAGTTTTTGTGCATGGGTCTGTCTGCCTTCATGAGTTTGATAAAGTTTTGTATACAACATGATTTTTCTTGTATTTCTCTCTTTGAAGGTGTTCTAGAAGCATTGAAGAAAAGAAAAAACAGTATGAATTTTATATAAAGAATTTTGTCAAGACACAGTAAGTGTATTTGGTTATGCTATTTGTTATGTTTGTACCTCCTTACAAAACTCCCTGTATGATGATAATGAAATGAAAATCTATCCACTTATCTAATCATCTGAGGTGATTATAATGCTGCACAACCTGACAGTTCATACACAGGAACTGATGGATTTCTTCATTGTCTATCATCACAGTAATTTTAAGCTGATCTACAGCTTTAATGATAAATATATGCCAAAAATAAATAAATGCCCCCACTATATGAAAATAAAATTTTATGAAAAAATCAGAATCCAAAATAAATAGTCCAAAAAATTAAAGTCCAAAAATTATAAACCACACAGATGTCCCTCAATTTTAATAAAGGTGATTTCACAAAAGTGTTCAAAATGTCAGAGCCTCCCAACGGCTCCCACGACCTGTCACCTCAAAAAAGAAAGATATTATACATAGTGCATTATCCTTTTATACAATATTCTTATAAACCATGTGTGAATTCACTCAGCTGTGTCACACACTCGTGACCCCTTTTAAGTGAAAAATAAGTGTAAGGGCTCTTTCACACTTGGCTGTTTTACCAACGCTTGCCAAACGCCCCTATAGCATTTGGCAAGCGTTGGTCCGGCGTTTGCGGAGCGTTTTTTAACGCTCCGCAAACGCCGCATGCGCGGTTTAGCGGCGGTTGCTAGGCGTTTGCTAAGCGTTAATAACGCCCCACAAACGCATATAATGCAGTTTGAGTGGTGTTACCACTCCGCAGACGCCCCGCAACCGCGTCGCAACCGCACCGCAAACGCCGGCCGGGCGTTTGCGGAGCGGCACCATAGACGAGAATAGGAGGCTTCAAAGCCTCCTGACTCGACCAGAGGCGCCCGTTTTGCCACAACGCGACGCAAACGCTCCCGTTCGAACACACCATGTGCTGTAATGTGCAGAATTGGCAGAGGCGTTTGGGAAACGGTAAAAACGCTTCCCAAACGCCTCTCTGCCGCCTGCACACAACGCTAGTGTGAACGTAGCCTAAAACGTGTTCGTGAGTCACTCATAAGTGCCAAAAAAACAGCAAAAACAGTGTGCACTTCTAATTTGAGTAAGGAGTGAATACCCTTACCTATACTCAATATCAATCTTGCCTCATTGCCATCCAGATACACCACAATAGTAAGACAGCCCTCCTGGAAAGATCCTCAAGACTACCACACTCCCCCGATGACACCTGGTTCCATCAGCATAAATATTCCATGTACCTCCTCACACCATGCTCCACCAAGATGCCAAGGAAGGAGTGTAATATCGCCAAAAACACCATATAGATAACTTTATTTAATATGCTCACATTATCACAGCCTTTAAAAAGCCTTAAAATCAGGTATTTCAAACCTCTCTACCGTCTAGAGATCGTCCAAATTGTTTGGTATACTTCTTGCTACTTTCCAAAATGGCCACTACTCCACTTCGGTTCCCATGAGACGCACATGGGCACCGGACGTAGAGTAGCGGCCATTGTTTTAGTTGTATTTTAGTCCTCTGAATGGAAACTGAATTTTATTTTAATGTAGTCTTTGTCACTGAAAATGTGCAGCTGACAAAAACTATGACGAAAATATTTTTGCTGACGAAATGAACACTACTACATACAGTATGCAGCACGGGTTTTTTTTTGCTGTGAGACATGAACTTCCCATCCCACACCCGGAACAAAATTCAGTTGGGTGAGCGCTGCTCAACCATTTATAGGCAGCTTCGTATTCTCTGAATGTATACAAAACTTTCCTTTGATTGGCTGTAGCAAAGATTGTTACATCATACGCTCTCCTCTGTACCACAGCCAATCAGAGGAAGGTTTGTTTTCATTTACAGTTGCCTATGTATGGCTGAGCAGGGCTCAGCCTGACTCATGCTCCAGTGTAGGATGGAAAGTTTGTGTCCCACAGCTAGAACACAGTGATGTATACTCTATATAGCTGAGGCTACTTATAGTTTGTATCACATACAGCGGGCGCACCTGTTAGAGTAGAAAATAGTTTGTTTGGGCCAGCTTTACCCAAACTAGTTAAAGTAAAAGGAGTGCTGTAGAGTGGTTGTAAACCTCAAACATGAAATATGAACAAAGCATATCTGTCTGTCTATAGTATGTACTTGTTTCAATTAAAAGCACTAAGTGTTATTTCTGTCTGCTACCTTGTTCCTTTGTTATCAGCCTAAATCACTTTTGACAAGTTCTCCTGACACCAAGAGAAAATGGCGGCAGGGGAGGGACCTACAGCTGATTGACAGCCTCAGCTCTGTTCCTGTGAGCTGTGTGAAGGGATTTTTTTTCCTTCGAATCAGCTGTGAGTTCTCAGTGAGCTCTGCAGTGTGTAATTTTCAGCTCTCCACCCTCTTTTTCTGAACTCTCAGACAAGCTTTATAAGTTCAGTACTTTGAGTGGATATAAAGAAGAGAATCTTGCAGATAAACAAGTACAAATTTATAAGGATTTGTTTTATCTCTGTGTATCACCTGAGGTCAGTCACTTCACTGGGTATATATGTAAGGGTTTACAACCACTTTAATGTAACTTTCTAACAGATACTTAAAAATAGTATCCCTTTGCCCCAATCAGAGTGGTGCTGCCTCATGATAGCCCTTTGCCCCCCACCCCGCAATGCCCAGAAGGGATTCCTGGGATTAGTCTAGCCTTACTACAAATTGCGGATTATCGCACGTTAAACCTATCCCATACCTGAACCAGTTAACTAAGCATATAATGAAAAAAAATACATGACGCAGAGGTTAATGTTGGTGCAAAACATGCATTAAAAAGATCAGCAGGTCCAGGTATGTTTGGGCAGCTGACAATGTGCATATATTTGGACTTTTCCATTTGAGCCATGAATGGCACAGCCCCAGTCAATACCAGCGTCTGAAGCCTCCCTGTTGGCCCTTTAACCACTTCATTACTGCGCTATAGCCAAAAGATGGCCACAGTGCTGCTCTGTTGTTCCAGGAGGGCGTCCATGGACATCCTTCCAAAACCACGCCCCCTGGGCCACGCATGCAGCTCAATCTGTGATCGTTGTGTCCTTTGGACACAGCTGATCACAGATCGAAGTGAAGGACCAATCACAATGGCCCTTTTACCATGTCATCAGCTGTATTCAATCACAGCTGATCACGGTGTAAACACACTTGCTGATTGTCAATGCGTGAGGAGAAGAGAGCCTCCTCACGCTGTGACAACCGGCAAGTGTGTTTACACCGGAAAGTGTAGCAGGGGACACACACAGATAATTAGGGCATTGATCATCAGTCAAGCCCCATAAGTGCCAATCAGTGCCTTCTTATCAGTGCTGCCTTATCAGCACACATCAGTGAAGGAGAAAAATTACTTGTTTGCAAAGTTTAATTAAAGTTAGTTTTTATGGGGATTTTTTTTTTCCATGTCTGGTGATTAAATACCACCAAAGGAAAGCTCTATTATTGTGAAAAAAATAGAAGTTTTATTTGGGTACAGAGTTGCATGACCACGCAATTGTCTTTCAAATTGACAACGGTGAAAGTGCCTGGTATTGAAGTGGTTAATGTGATGAGTAGCCTTCTTGAACAGTTGACAGTTTGGGAGGCCGATTTGGGTGGGGCTAGACATGACATCTACAAGACCTTTCTGGATTTGGAAATAACTTCAGCTGCCTATTTATCTTGATTTGCTGAATAATTTTGACTGTAGTTTTCCCTTTTTACCGTCACATACTAAGTTTGAATTGCCAAATATGTGTGGCAAGGGAAAAGGTTATTTTACAATCTGTAGTTCCATTTGAAGTGTAACCTTTGATCTAATTCTCCAACAATTGCTACTTTCTAATATCCTAAGGGTGTTTTTTTTTTTTTTTTTTTTTTTATCTCCCAAGAGTATATTAATTCTGTGTGCATTAGCCACTAACTTTCCTCTATAGCTGAATATATGTCTGTGTATTTAGTTACAGTAAATTTGATAAAGAAAAAGCAGCACAGGAGAAGCATATAAAGAAGTGTGAGGAGGAATGGGATGAGACCAGACAGAGGGCCATTGCTGCTGAGGTGAGAACTAGCTGGTCACTGATTTTATGCCTTCCTTTCTAGAAAACCAATTCTTAGTTTAGGAGGACCCATAACACAATCTGTCTACAGGAATCATTTAATACTTAAATGTAATGTAAACATATAATAATATCCTTTGTCTATATAACACTGGAGAGTGTGTTAAGACTACATAATACCTCCCTCTCTTCTCCAGAACAGGGGAAGTGTTATGTTTTCCACAGAGACAGCAGGGACCAATGCTAACTGATAACAGTCTAGAAGCAGATAGTACATGAAGCTATACAAAAATTAACAAACTGCAACCAAGCCCAAATCTATCTGGAAAGCTCGCCAGCACTTAGTGTTTCACAGATCTGCTGCACAAAATTAAGGAATTTCATTTAGTAAAGGAAGTTATCAGCTCACAAGATTACCAGGTGGATGAACAGCTAATATTTTGTTAAAAAGACCAGGGAGGCAATAAAAGAAATTTGTTACTGTTTACGTAAACTTTAAGCTGTTCAATCTGCTCATCAGTTGTTGGGCATGCACATCTAAAGGGATGCAAGGGATGCGTTCTTTTATTCTTTCAGTGCTGGGAAACAGAAAAATTGATAGCAGAGAAAGCTGTTAGCTGTGAAGGGTGGAAAATGACAGTAAGGATCAGCAGGTAAGAGGATTGATGATTAAAGTTCATACAGGAAATGATGGAAGGCCCAGGATAGCTCCTGCAGCTTCAAAGCTTTTATTGTGGAGATGCACGCAGGGAATTAAGAGTACTACGTTTCAACACAGGAGAGAACTTCCTAAAGGCAGATAGATATAAGATGAACATAATTGTAGCTCTGTATTTAGTAGTACATAATTACATGTATTTATTTTTGAATGCATGCAGTGTAAGTACCTGAATGTGACTTGGCTTCATCCTGTGATTCACTTTATAGCAGAGCTCAGATTTGGAGAGGGAAAAGCAGCACAAGGAGCCAGTCCATTGTACTGCTGTGCTCATCGGCTAATAAGGAATGTGTTAGAAGAAGAGAGCAGAGGAATAGAAAGATTAGCTCATCAGACTGTTGCTTCTCCTTTTACTGACCAGTCACTAGCTGAGGGGAGGGACAAAACCCTTAAGTATTTAACTTCAGCCGAGAAATATCAGGTCTCCTGTACTTGCTTGACAAGGTTGTGCTGTCTGGCAGGGCTGTGTAAATCTCTGGACTGGATGGACAAATGTACAGCTCATCTGTGTATTTCATGTGTTTAGTTGCAGTTTGGGGGATCTCTGATCTTATGCTGATCTGGGTGATGTCTTGCAAACACATGGTGCCATGCTGGAAGGACCAGGTTCTACAGTTGTGCCTGTCCATAGAGAACTTGGGCCCATCCAGGCCCTCTGCAAGGCGGTGTAGTCACAGCTGATCCCCCTATAGTGGGGCATTGATTGCACTCCATGGCTATGCTGGGGGGGGGGACTGCGTGAATCTATAATATTCAGCCTGTCACCCAGCAACGCAGTTGAAAACAAAATTCTCTAAATCAATTAAAAAAAAATCCATCAAGTGGAAGTAAAAGAAAAGGAGAGAAAATGAGTTCCTCACTTCTGAGTGCTGGGCAAAAAACTGACAACTGTGTTTACCGATGGGAGGGTGGCCACTACCAGAGGGCTGCCCCCTGGGGGTACTTTTACTTCAGTTGTGCCTAGTGTCCTCCTCCTGCAGGTGGTGATATCCAACTCATCCACCATGATGTTCTGCTGTGTCCTTCGGTGAATAGATAGAAATAGAAGTGATTTAACATGATATCCGTTATATTTCATACAAGTATAAAGGAGAGCCAGGTATACAATTTTCCAAAAGCAACTTGTCAGCAGAATATGAGCTAGATAGTGATGAAGATTTAGTTCTCTAAAACAATAGCTTGCATCTGATTGGTTGCTATGAACTACATTCCTCCTTGACCTGTTATTTCCATTGTTGATGGTTAATTGTGTTTTCTCTGCTCTGTAGGTGATTGTGCTGGAGAACAAGAAGCAGTGTGAATTGTTAAAGATGAGGATCAAAGTTGCCACTGTAGATCGGAACATCAGCATGTTTAATCCTGTAGTCATGAGGTATCGGCCTTATTTTTGGATATTTTGTTTCTATTTTGTAGATGGAAGGAATATGGACTAGCTCAAGAATGTCTTTATAAGACTAAGGCCTCATGCACACGGCAAAAAAGGTGCAGCAACAATCCAACGGACTCTTGTAGCTGGATGTACAGGTGTATGCAGACAGTTGTGGCGGCTCTGCCTGTACGGTGCAATGATGGGCTGACAGCAGCCACAGCTGTCCCTCGGCACCTGAATGAACCACGCGGCTATCTATTTAGTCGTGCTTCACCCTTTGTATCTGAATGCTGGCAAACCGCTATGGCCGCTGCTAGTCTGTCATTGCTTATTTCAGGCGGAGGAGACGCAACTGCCCACATTTATCTATACATCCAGCTGCAAGAATCTACTGGATTCTTGTTGCATCTTGCACTTTTTTTTGCCGTTTAAATGAGGCCTAATTTTTTTGTGGTTAAAGGTGATCTAAACTCTCTAGAACAAAAATGTCACACATTGCAGCTTACCAGTCCTTAAAGACTGTCAAAATAAGGTACCTGCTCCCCCCCCCCCCCAAAACAAAAGTACCAAAATGTGGCAGTGGATGGGGGGTTTAGGAGACAAACAAGCGACGCTTCCCCTTTTGGGTGGAGCTTTGGCTTTAGAGTGGAATTTCAGCTTTCACCTAACTAGCCTTAAAACTGTCCCCTCTCTTCTCCTAATACCTCTGCTAACTAGCCAGTATAAGAAAGATGTGTACATTTCCCTGTTTTCAGCCCTCTCCAAGTCTGGTCACGTGATCTCTCCTGTGTCAGCCAACAGCAACTGCAGTGGAGAGGATAGAGCTCTCGACAATGGCTAGTAAAACCTGCAATGGTGACATTAGGTTAGGGTAGGTTCAGGGGCGGACTGACCATTTGAGCACTGCCTGAGGGCCCGGGGTCAGTAGGGGGCCCCATGAAATGCCCCTGGTACCTTTTTTATAGGCTTTTTTGAGTGTGGGCAAGGACACAGGGGCCCCATGATCCCCTATTGCCCGGGGACTCCATGAGTTGTCAGTCCGCTTCTGGGTAGGTTTCCAGTATCCTATCCATTGTTTGTGGTCCCTCCTCTCCCCTGCAGCCATAGGGGAACTGGACAATGTGACTGAACCGGAGTGGGCTGAAGAAAGGGAAGTATATACACCTTTTCTTACACAGGTTAGTCAGCATATGTGTTAGATGTTTTAACACGAAATAGCAAAGAGAAAAAAATCGCAAGTGCAGACTTTGATTTTTTTTTTAATGGGGATAAAAAGTGCCAAATGGCCACACACAAAATCAAAGAAATGATAGGCTCATTGTGTAATGGGGACTCAGACTCAATGTAGGAGAAGCCGTTCTGGGGCTGCCAGGGTCCACTGCCACACCGTTGGTGGTATAAGGAAGCCGGCCAGATACGTCTCAAGATGGCGCTGATTGGTGTGATGTCACTGGAGTCAAGTGTTGTGACGCGTTTCAGAGCATGTTCAAAATCAGAACTGGGCACGCGTGCTTTCATCAGGCTATGCCACGATGAGCCTGTCATTTCTTTGATTTTGTAATCCCTATTTAGGAAATGGAATCCCTATTAAGGAAATAAAAAGTCTGCACTTAGAGGCTCTTTCTTTTTCTTTGCTATTTTGTGTTTATATAGAGCCTGTTTCTGCTCGTAAAAAGAACTGCTCTTGTGCTTGATTGCTGGATTATTTTACATACAATCTATTATGGACTTTATATGAGTATCCATATATGGCCTACTTGTAGTGGGCATAGGGTATTCACACCTGTGGTGCCTGCAGTTATTTTTTCTGGAATTCTGCTTTAAATGTGATGGTTTCATTTTCTTTTTTTTTTTTTTCATCCTACGAATCCTTTTCTTTCAAAAACACGTTGATCCTGCCAGATTTTCGATGTCTTGGATCTTTCTGTGCACTAAACAGATATCTGTTGGCAGCTTTCCCAGCTAGTTTGACTACAGAATACTCTATGTAATGGAGAGCAGGACGTGCTTGTAATAGAAATCAATAGAGGAGCCTGCTCCGTACATACTGTACAGCAAGTGAGCATTGTCACCCTAAGAGAGAAATTGTTACAGACAGGATCAACAGGTGAAAATAAAGGTAAAGATCTAAAGAAAATGAATGCTGCCACCAAATCTAAAGACTGGTAAGCTGCAATATATTCAAATTTAGTTTTTGAGTTTAGATGCACTTTAATGGTCAGCTGGTCGTTGCTCACACTTCACAAAGGTGACAGGGCTCCTATACTGGGGTGTTCCACAACCATGGGCTCTGTCTTTTTATAGTGAGCCAGTAAAAGCTTTTGGAATCTATGAAATTAATCCTGTAACATAAGTAAAATTGGCCAGAGAGAGTAAATATCTCTCCCACAGCCCACACTGCCGAGAGCCGCTCTGCTGAAGAGAACCCTTCCTTTTGATTACACCGCTCTGCTTTACCAAACTTTGTCTTATCTCATTGATATGTATTTCTGGTTCACAGTAATCCAGCACCTCACATAATGCTGCAATTACGGGAAATGGAGTCTTTTAAATTAAAGCTGAAGAAGGAGATGGAAACCTTAGAGGTAAGATGGGCAAGATTTATCAAATAGTGGTGTTTTGGAACTATTCTGGAAACATTGCAACCATTGTGGTCTGAATGTCCTGTTTTTCCTAAAAGAGAACCTGTAATTCTCTAGTTTTATGTTTTAAAATACTTTTGAAGTGAACACTTCCTCTTCTGTACATGTTAGTTACTGCACCTGTAAAGGCAAAACTTTTTTTTTTTTTTTTTTTTTTTAAGTGGTTCTAAAGTTTTTTTTTTTTTTTTTTTTTTGTTTTCTTTTTTACCATCATGCATTCTCTGCGTTAAGGTAAAAAAAATACCTGCCGTATTCAGACTCCATCCATCCCCCCCTTATAACTACCTGAGCCCGATTTCGATCCAGCACTGTGCATGAGAGCAGCAGCTCTTTCCGCTTTCTCTCTCTCCTCACTGGCAGATTGATAGCCGTGTGAGCCATTGGCTCCTGCAGCTTGCAATACAATCCTGTGACATGGGAGCATGGGGCACTGATGTCTGTCGGCAAGGCAGCTCAGGTTCAAGCTTGCACAAGTACCCTCATAGGAATCTGTTTTACAAGAAAGAGCCAGGAGTGCTTGTGGGGGACCCCAGAAGAGCAGGATCAGGGTTGTTCTGTGCAAAAACCATTGCACAGAGCAGATGAGTATAATGTGTTTTTAAGTAAATAATAAGGTTTAGCTTTTTTTTTTTGCTTTTTGTGGCCCATTAGGGAGATTTCGCTTCACTTTCTGTCCTGGAGACAGGAGCCTTCCACCAAAATGGGAGGAAATTCCATATCAGTTGTCAATGACACCTGTAAAATTTTGTATTCTTGTTATTGCTATCCCAGTGACAATGGGTCACCGGGACAAATCAGATGAATCTCCCAAATTAGGATAAACACGATATCAGTGATGAACCTGGCATGGGTTTTAACTCTTTTCTACTCTTGCCAGAGTGTTGGGGGGGCATTTTGTCTTTAGAAAGAATTATACGTTTCTTTATTTTGAATATGGTTACTGTAAAGTGTTCTCAAACCGTTTTGGTTTCAGTACAGTCAGGATTGTATACAGTATTTCTTTATGGCACTTGTAGGCAACACCGTTAGAGGGGTAGCCTCAAGATTTACAGACTGTGTTTTATTCCTTACATTCTGGTCACCTCTGGAGATTTGTCGCTAAATTGAGCAAGAAACGTAGCTGTGAGGGGTGCAGATGATGATTAGAGGAGTCAGAAGGCTCCAATGGAGTAGTCTATAGAAGCATCAGAATCCTAGGAACTGACCATTTGAAGTCTTGGGCTTAGCACTGGACCCTGGCTGTCAGCCCGAGCCATCGGGACCAACTCAAGTAATTAAGGGTTAAATAACATCAAATATTTCTAACTCTTTTTTTAAAATGGGAAACCAATGAGTTTAATTCTGCTTGAAGTTAACATAGAGAGCTTAACCAGTTCCCAACCACATTATAGCCAAAAGATGGCTACAGCGCAGTTGGCTAGTTTTGGGAGGTCATCCATGGACGTCCTCCCAGAAACACACACCCCGTGCGCAATCTGTGATCGCTGTGTCCAATTACAGCTGATCACAGTGTAAATAGGAAATGCCGGTTATTGGCAGTCCTTTCCTCACACTGACAGTGCGTGAGGAGAGGCAAGCTGGTAAGCAGCATTTTGCAGGGGGACAACTAGAGTGATCATCAAGACACTGATTATCAGTGCCCTGATCATCGGTGTAGCCCCATCAGTGTGACCAGTAGTGCCCATCTGTGCTGGAAATCAATGCCCATCAGTTGAATCAGTGCTGCCCATCAATGCCGCCTAACAGTGCCCATCATTGCTGCCCATCAGTGCCATCTCATCAGTGCAGCCTAACCGTGAAGGAGAAAAAAAATTACTTATTTACAATACTTTATAACAGAAACTAAGAAAAACTTTTTTTTTTTCAAAATTTTTGGTTATTTTGTTGTTTAGCAAAAAATAAAAACCCCAGTGGTGATTAAATACCACCAAAAGAAAGCTCTATTTGTCTCAAAAAAAGATAAAAGTTTAGTTTGGGTACAGCATTGCATGACTGCATCATTGGTGAATTGTCATTCAAAGTATGCGAGCAGTGAAATCTGAAAATTGGTCTGGGCAGGAAGGGGGTAAAAGTGCCCGGTAGACAAGTGTACAGTAATGTAAATGTGTTTCCAGGCTCAGTTTGATGAGAAAATCACCTCTGCGAAAAGTTGTTTGAAACTAAACAATATCTCTGAGATGTCTGTGGCCAGTCACCAGAGCCCATCCAGCGCCCATGTGAGTGCATGATGCATATTATAGAAGTGCATTTTTGTTTTTATTCTCCATGGTTTATGGTCGTGTAATTATTTGTATTAAAGTTTGTAAAGCAACATTCTTTTTAATATATACACACAGTATATACACTGATCAGCCATAACATTATGACCATTGACAGATGAATAACATTGATTATCTTATGACAATGACACCTGAAATTAGGCAGCAAGTGAACATGTTGTCCCTTAAGTTGTTGAAAGCAGAAAAAATGGGCAAGCACAAAGATTTGAGTGACTTTGACAAGAGCTAAATTGTAAGGGCAAGACAACTGAGTCAGAGCTTTTGTGGGAGTTCATACCCAGTCTGCAGTGGTCAGGACCTACAAAGAGTGGTCCAAGGAAGGAAAACCAGCGAACTGAAGACTGGGTAATGGACGGCCAAGGCTCATTAATGCACATTGGGAGCAATGGCTGGCCTGCGTGGTCCAATCCAGTAGAAGAGCTACCATAGCCCAAATTCCTGAGAAAGTCAATGCTGGTCCTGATAGACATAAGAACACACATAGCATCGCAGTTTGTTGCATATGGAGCTGCGTAACTGCAGATCAGTCAGGGTGCCCAGGCAGACCCGTGTCCACAGCCAAAAACTCTTACATAGGGCACGTGAGTAACAGAACTGGACCACGGAGCAATGGAAGAAGGTGGACTGGTCTGATGAATTCAAGAATGATTTGGCCTCCAGAGTTCAATCTGATTGAGCATGTGTGAGATGGGCTGGAAAAACATATCCGACCTATGGAGGCCCCACCGCACAATTTGTAAGACTGCATATGCCACAACATATCTTCAGAGGTCTTGTGGAGTCCATGCCTCGACAGGTTACATTGGGTGGTCATAATGTTCTGGCTGATCGGTGTATGTAATTATTTTTAGTTTTTTGGGGGGTTTTTTTTGGTTTTTTTTTTTCTTTTTTACAAATTCTTTAACTCATAATTTTAGAGGTAAATGTTTCTCTGCATGCTGAGGATTATATTGGGTGAGCCCAACGCTGCCTACATTCTTGGAAGCATATTCACTAAAAGGGTGTGTTCCTCATTATGCAGTCGTTATGCAGTGTAGTCTGATCTTCCTGCTACTTAAAGTATAACTAAAGGCAAAACTGTTTTGTTTTTTGTTTTTTTTTTTTAGTTTTGGATAAAGTAGAGATAAACTAGAACACCTATTAGGTTTTTATTGCAGCCTGTGCCCCAGTTAGGGAGATTCACCCTCTCCATTTGTCCTGTTTACTGTCATTGAAAGTGAAAGTAAAAAAACTCTTACATTTTGGGTTGTCCCCAGGAAAGTAATAGAGGGGAAATCTTCCAACGGGTACCTGGGGTCCACAAGAAATTCCCCTAATTTGCAGGGATTTTCTCTCACTTCCTGTTTTGGCTGAGGGACAGGAAGTGAAGGGAAATGTCTCCAATGGGACACAGAATGGCAAAAATAAACTAGTCCTCTTTTAAGGTTGTTGCACAATGCAGCTGTGATCTAAGCCTTCAAAAACTTGCTTGTACAGCTTGATATCTTGTTTTATTAGATTAGGGTTCCTATTTTAAAAGTGATGTTTGTTTTTCAGGAGCCACAGATTCAGTCTCCACCAAACCAAACTCAAGTCTCAAGCAGTCCCTCTCCAGACCCTGTGTGTGCTAAACCTGCTAACTCTATGCCTGCCAAATCTCCAGGGAAGAAGACCGCAGCTAGTAAAAAGGTCCAAGCTAAAGAAGCAAAGAAGACTTCCACGCGTCCTGCATCTAATAGTAAACCTAAAAACCAGCCACCTGCTCCTTCATCCAATAAGAGTACAGCTGGCCAAGACAAAAAATCACATGGGCAGTCTGAACCAACACTACCATCTCCTGCAAAACCAACATTGTTTGATAAGATTATCCACGAGCTTCATGATATCTTCCCTCACTATAAGCAGTGAGTACAAGAGCACACAAAGTCCATCTTGCTGGACAATGTTAGGTACCCGCATTGTCCACCAGAGGGCAGAATAACTACATTTATTAACCACTTGACCTCCTGAGGATTTCCCCCCTTCCTGACCAGGCCATTTTTTGCTTTATAGCACTGCGTTACTTTAACTGACAATTGCGCGGTCATGCAACTCTGCACCCAAATTAAATTGACATCCTTTTTTTGCCCATGAATTGAACTTTCTTTCGGTGGTATTTGATCACCTGTACAGTTTTTATTTTTTGCGCTATAAAACAAAAGACAGACAATTTTGAGAAAAATTTTTTTTTGACTTTTTACTATTAAACATGTCCAGTGAAAAAAAAATTTACAAATCAAATTTCGTCATAAATTTAGGCTAAAATGTATTCTGGTCCATGTCTTTGCTAACAAAAAATCCCAATACGTGTAAATTAATTGGTTTATGTGAAAGTTAGTGTTTACAAATGGCGGTATAGATGCTGGGTTTTTTTTTTTTTTTTACTTGTAATGGCGGCGATCAGCGACTTATAGCAGGACTGCGGCGCGCATTCTGACACTGGGGGGAGCTGACTTGGTGTCACTGATATCCCAATGACACTAATACCGTGATCAGTGCTAATAAAAAGCACTGACACTGTACTAATTGCACTGGGCAGGAAGGGGTTAACATGAGGAGTGATCAAAGGGTTAACTGTGCTGTGTGTGTTTTACTATGGGGGCTGTGTTAGTGCTTTCCACTGTAAGCACACAGCTCCTGCACACTGCTTTGCATAGCAGTGTGCAGGAGCTGACGGGAGAGAACTGTATATGTGTTTACATTCAGTTCTCTCCCCTGTTATGCTGTTTTGCTTGTGTATGTGTCCGTGTGCTTCACTGTAAGCACACTGTTTTGGATGGCTGTGCTGTGCACAGCCATCCAAAGCAGTGTGCACGAGCTGCCAGGGAGGAGAACTGTTTTGTTTACAAACAGTTCTCCTCCCTGTCAGAGATACTCGGCAATCGCCGGCGAGTAATAATCACTGGCCAGGACCCAGTGATTGGCAGCGTGGGTAGGGCTCGCGTTTGCCCCCTACGTGGAAATGCAAATCGCTTATATGTACGTGATTTTGCGCACCCGTGCCGCCCTGTAGCAGTATTTCTGCTATAAGGCGGTCGGGAAGCTGTTAAAGTAATGCATATTTACAATGATTGTGAACCCTTACCTTGTAAAACAACCCATTCAGTTTAGAATAGAAATGAAAGGCAAAATGTGTGTATAAATATAAAAAACAAAAATTATTTTTTTCCGTTTTTTTTATAAGTAATCACATTTCCTCTCTTGGCTGCAAAAGAGGTGGGGGAGCAGAAGTAGCATCACAGTGATCTACCCAGTGAATAACTGTACAGAGGGGCATCAGGACAAGTCTGATAATTTTGAAGAGAGCAGTTCCCAGCACACCTAAAGAACTGGCCAGGCTGTGTTCTCATGCCTAGTGTGGTCAGTTTTTAATAGGAAAGCAGAGGGACTGACATGGGCACCAGGGATTTCACACAAAGGAATCAAAACAAAGAGAACAGGATACTTTTTCATACACGTACATGGTACAGCAGACATATCAGGAATAGGAAATGTTGGCTTTGCATATTCTGATCTCCAGCTTTATTGTCGCTTTAACCAAGCTGGCTCAAGCACACTTTCTCCAATGCTCACAGGTACGCCCGCTGGGCACGCTGTATAAACTGCATGTAGTCTCGGCTATATACAATTTATAGCACTGTACTGCGGCAGTGGAACACAAATTTCCCATCCCACACCCAGAACAAAATTGAGTTGAGCTGAGCAGTGCTTAGCCATTCATAGGAAGCTTTGTATTTTCTGAATAAACACAAAGCTTCCTTTGATTGGTGGAGAGGTGGATGGTTGACTTTACAATCTCCGCTTCAGCCAATGGGAGGACGCTTTGTGTTAAAAAAAAAAAACTGCAAAATGCAAATGCAAAAAAAATGAGTGGCAGAGCAGTGCTCAGCCCGACTCAGTATTGTTCTGGGTGTGGGATGGGAAATTTGTGTTCCACTGCTCCAGCACAGTGCTATAAATTGTATATAGCCGAGTTAATTATTTACTATTTTCAGTGCATTCTGGGGATTTGGGAAGGTCTCCTGAGGTTATCTTTTAAAAAACGCTTCTAAATGCGAACGCGGTATCCAAACACGGCTAAACTGACGTGTTTTAGCCCCTTCACGCCGGCCGCACACAAATGTGCAGCCTCCCGCCATCTGGGCCTAGATGCCGAGCAGCCGCACATTTGCGTTCATGTAACAAAAAACGTGCTGAGAGCGTGCGCCCTGCGCACTCCCTGCACACGTGCGGTACTCACGGAAAGGTCCCAGTCCACTCTTTCGATCGGGACCTTTCCCGATCATGTGACCGCCGTGACGACGCGTCACGCCAGTCACATGATCCCTAAACCCCGCCTCCCAGCGTCTGAAACTCTTAAAGGGCCGGGAGGCGCCGGCGGGAAGGGGTTAACCTACATTTTCTAGCAGTTCATTTCCAGCGGTCAGAAGAGTTTTCCAAACGCCCCGTGTACATGAGCCCTAATAAGGGCCACACCTACTGAATTCCAAAGTTCTAGAACTTTGGTTGTAAATAATATTTTTTGTCCTTGAAAGGGATCACATTTGGCACTCAGGAAATAAATTGCAAAAGTTCAAATAAGAACCGAGCACCTGCTAAGAGTATGTCAGTAAGCCAAACCGATGGAAACTGAGATCTAAATGGGACTCCTGAGCCACTAGTTGCAGGTCACTCACGTACTCACAGTAAAAGTAAGACCACCCCCGATACTGATTTTGCTTGTTTCTCCATGCAGTGCTGAACTCACCGCCTTCATCAAGGACTTTAGAGTTCGAAATAATGGGACTCTTTCTGGGCTTACACATGAAGATATCATAAGCCGGGTTACGGAATACATACTGGACATCCAAGCAAAAAACCCAACGTCACCATCACCAGTGAGTAGATTGTCTGGTCTTATACAGATTTCTTCTGCTGCTTTAACTCAGCATTGTGTGGTCACTGATGTATAACTGCTATTTAATTTGCTGGTGTCATCTGCTTCTATACCTGTTTTATCTTCTATAGATCCCAGCTGTACTTAAAGCAGGACCTGCAATGCCTCAGCCAGCCGCGCCCCAGGCTAAGCAGCCATGGAAAGTGGTAAACTTGGGAAACAAGAACAAGTGGCAGAATGATATGGAGGTATGGACTTACATATGTGTGAAGGATACTAAGAAAATGGCTTAAAGAACTGAACTCTGGAAGCTTTCCCAAAAAAAGGCAGGCAGAGGGCAAAAGACTAGTGACCAGCATTGCCCGTGGTCTCCCTACAGTTGAAGTTTCCCCATTGTTAACTTAATGTAGAGACAGACATCTTTTTTAAAGGCGGTACTTTACTTCTTCATGTGAGAGCCTCCAACAAAGAGATCAGTGAGCAGCACAGTGACATCCATATTCCACCCCAAATCTCCTGAGATTAGCAGTCAGAGGCAGCAGTGCCTTAGACTTCGCACTGCAGATATACAAGCTATGAAGTTGTAGGCACAGGCGAGATACCCCTTACATATCAGGAATGCCCTGCTATTAGTAGGAATTCTAGATACGATAGATCAGGGCTGTCCAAACTATGGCCCTCCAGCTGTTGAAGTACTACAAGTCCCATCATGCCTCTGCCTCTGGGTGTCTTGCCTGTGGATGTCAGAGTCTTGCAAGGCCTCATGGGACTTGCAGTTCCTCAAAAATAAAAATGCAATTGGCGCAAGAGAATTTGTAGTGGACATAACGTTCACTCAGCAAACCTTAAACAAAATAATCCAGTAAACAGAAATTAAGATATATAATCGTACATGCCAGTAATAAAGGGGCAACAAGTAGATGATGCAGCTTTAGTGGTGAGGAAAGGGAAGGGGGGAGGGGAGGGGGGTAGGGAAAGGAGGGGAAAAAAGGCCTTGTGATGCAAACAGTACTGGATTGAGATAGATGGTGTATATATATGTGTATACATATATATACAACGCTGCAATGTAGACACCGTCGTGAGGCTTGCACTTTCTAGAGTAAACCGGACTCTGTGGTAAATGGAGAAGAAAGAGAAGTGCGCCAGACTAAGTGCAGTATGAATATAAAAGTTTATTGCACACAAGATTATAAAAACTCACAAGACGTGGGTAGATATCAGGCATCAATATATAAGGAGGAGGATGTCATCTGTGCTGCACCTCACAAATGGATGGCTGTAATGTCAAGGTGTTGCGTGGCTGGCGCTCTAGGCGGGTCCCACAGGAGGAAGCGAGGATGGCAGGCGCAGTAACCGGGAGTCGCGGCGCAGATAAGAACCGGGATCCAGGGCAGGCACTGCTGATCTCTCACATCAGCGTGGGTACAGTAGCCAGCTGGAGGCACATCCAAGATGGCCACCGGGCAGGAAATGACATCAGAACGTTGCTGGGAATCCTCCATGGAGGACCATAGTTTGGACACCCCTGCGATAGATGGTTCAGGGTACTACCTAAGCAAAATTAACCATTCTAGATGTTCTCTATTAGGTATATAACATGGCATATCTTCACTTTTTAATGATTACAGGCATTAGTATAGAGCTGACAATTTACACAGCGCTTTTTAAGTTCAATTCCACTTTAAAGCTGAATTCCAGACAAACTGCTAAATACATATGTGGGAACTATTTTTCTGCAAGGGATTTGCATTTCTTCTGTCCAGCTCTTGAGCCATGTTCATTGTTGACACGTGCATGCAGCTAAGAAAAATGTAAGCGTACTAAAGTCTCCCTGCATTCTAAACTATCATATCTATGACCATTCCATTGATAAAAGGCAGTTGTGCGCAAGTGAAATCCCCAAAATATGTTGTGTGACCAAAAAAAAAAAAAAAACGTTTTCTTCTGTGAAATCCAATAATAAAAAACAAACTTTCTTCAAAATGCGTATTACAATGGGGGAAGATTTACTAAAACTGAGGAGTGCAAAATCTGGTGCAGCTCTGCACAGAAACCAATCAGCTTCCAGGTTTTATTGTCACAGCTTAATTGAACAAGCTGAAGTTAGAAGCTGATTGGCTGCCATGCACAGCTGCACCAGATTTTGAGTGCTGCAATTTTAGTAAGTCTTCACCACTGTGTCTTTGTATTATTTTATCTTCTGCCTTTTGTGTGTCTTTGTAGCTTTTGTGTGTCTGGTATGTTTGTATGTTCATCTTCACAACCTCCTCTGTGTAAGGATCGGTTCATATCTGTGCAGTGTGTTTTAGGTGCATTAACATTGAACTATTTGTAGCATGTGCTTTCATGAAAGCACATCAAAGATGCACCAAGCAGGTTTTTTTTTTTTGTTTTGTTGTGTTTTTTTTTTTTTTTTTTTTTTTACATACCACACTTGAAACTCATAAAATGCACAGGTGTGAACAGAGCCAAAAAGCACTCCAAGAAAGCAGTGCTATACCCCAAACCTGTGCTCACAGATGGTTATCAGAGGTAAATGACTATACTAAAGCTGGCCCAAGATGGATCAAAATCTGGTGAGTTAAGCAGGATTTCATCTGTGTGTGGCCATCACTGTTCAACATAAGATCGGACAAGCTGAAAATCTTTTGTTGATCAGTGGCTGCAATCACTGATCTGTTCATTCTGACAGAGGAGAGTCCTGCTTTCCCGAGTACAATGTCCTGGCCAAGTGGATTCCTCCATCCTACCCTCTTGTGTGTATGGAGGAATCTTTTTGTTTTTGATTCAGTCCACTGGCTCAGTGGGGAAAAAAAACAAAACGATACTGCCGGCTTGTGCTTCAGGTCAAAAAACACTTAGATTAATAAATCTTCAGGGTTCATATATACACCCTTTACTTACTTTTGTTGCTGTATTAAGCTAAAGCATCCAGCCGACTGTAGTACCTCCCCACGCACTCTGTGGTCCTGCCACTCACTTACTGGGAGATCATCCAGTGAGGGTGTTAGCATCCATACTGCACCCCAGGCACCTGCATCTCCCTTGTGCCCGTGCTGCACTCAGAGGACACCGCTCAGGAGTTCAGATCTGTGGGAGCCGTTGGGAGACGAGCTGTCTTTTGTAAACACAGAAGCCAGACTTGTGTGTTTACAAGTGATTGTGGTGAGCAGGGAGCAAAGGGCCTGAGCCAGAGGTAGATGAACTGAGTTCCACCAAGTTCAAGCTGAAAAAAAGCCCCGAGTAGAAATCACCAATGTGTTCTGCAGCCCACAGAGATTCCTGTAAATGTATGCTGGGCCCTCTCCTCATTGATGCACATTTCGTTACGCAGGATGTTTTCAAACATCACAGCACAAGTTTTTTTTTTTTTTTTTTTTTTGGACTTTTATTGTGCACATTTGTTATCCTACCTTTTTATCAATGAAAAGGTTATAGATATGTCATTTGAAAGTATGGGTTTAGTAAATGCACTTGAATTTTTTTTTGTTCTTTCAGTGTTTATCACACTCCAAAAGTAGCATTTATTAATATTTTGATTTCATTACACAGAGGTTGATCATTTAAAATATACATGTGTATGCAACACACCTGATTGGCTCCCACTGCCTCTCTCTCTCGCTCCCTTTCCTTATCTGAGTGCTTCTGTACAGGTGGTTAAGGGAAGGCAAGTGTAACTTGCTAAGTTGATTCTTGTTTACAGTGCAGGTGTAGATCAGACTGAATACTTACTGGGATCCAATTGTGTTCCGGAGCCTGGTGTTCTCACCTAGCTTTCATGGTCCTAGCATCATGCTATTTAATGTTCATGGTCAGCAGTAAACCCAGACTAGAAGTAGCTATTATGTTGTATGAATTTGTATGTTTCCTGAATTTACTGAGAATTCATAGACTTCACTTCCTTTTTTCATAGGTTTTAAAACTTATATTAAAGGCCAAGTTCACTTTTTTGAAAAAAATAGTAAATGCACAAATTTTTGAAGGAAAACAAAAAGTGCATTTATCACTTTTTTCAGAGGTACTTGCAGGGCATTCACCTGTGATAAGTAGATTGTGAGTGCAATGTCAGGCTCCTGCAGACACTACCTCCAGTTTTCCTGCTTGTACATCTGTATGTGCAGACAGTTACAAAGCTGGAGGAAGTGTCATGGAACTTTGAGGGCAATCAATCAGCACCCTTGTAGTTCCTTGAGAACTACAAGCCATCTACCACAGTGGCAGACAGGACCTGTAGTTTTTTCATTCACAGATTGCTTTGAATGAATGACGTGGATGTGTGGATGGATCATGCATGGGATATGCTTAGACATGAAAAATGGATAAGACATCCTCACCTAAATGCGGATGCAAGAAGCAAAAACTTAAACTAAAAAAACAAATTGTTTAAGAAGGAGGTGGGAGGAGTCAAGGGGAGGAAGGCTTGTTCATGGGTGAAGGTCTACTTTAAATATGTTTTAATTGTTGTATTGCCTCTGACACAGTCCTTTAATGAAGACCCCTGTATAATCTGTCATGATGAGCTGAAGCAGTATCCTGTGCACAAGCTGGACTGTGGTCACTACTTCCACAAGCACGTAAGTGTCATTTTGTTTACCCAGTTTGGATCCAGTGGCTGTTGATTAGAGATCACATGATGGTTCCATTCCCTGCTTCTGTGAATATTTGTATTGCTGCAGATTTCTTGGCTATAGTGGGATGCATCGTAATATCACAGAATTGTAAGTTGCTACATTAATTGAAATCATAAGGTTTTTAATCCATAACTTAATTAAAACAGGCTGTAGTTGTCCTACCTGACCTTGCTTTTCCAGGCAGGTTGCTATGCTCTGTCAGCTGACATCAATGTTGGGATCCACCTAGATGCCTGGACTGGCAGCTGGCTCAGCCTCTCTGCTTACCACTGGGAGCCTGAGCCAGCCGCTCCCACCCTCTCCACAGTCTGGAGCTCCAGTGAGCGCTGGAGGGGTAGAACAGAGAGCCGGTGACTGACAGTCACCACTCTCTGCTCAGGGAAGACTGAAAACTGACCACTCCATTCTTGGTCTTCGAGCCGTTGGGGGACAGCTGCAGAATCAGACTAAAGCTGTAGCCACATAGGTGAGTATGTATGTTTATTATTTTGACATCCTACACTTCTCCTTTAAGAGGCTCACCTGGCATACTGTGCTGCTCCCTCTCACTGACAAAACCAGCAAGGTGTTGTACAGTGTTTCAGTGTGGGAGCAACACCATTTAAACAGGCAGTTTCTTAGCAATCTGGTGCCTGGCAATTTGCTGTCAGTAACAGAATTGCTAATGTGACAGGGCCCTAAAGATGGTAACATGCAGTTAAAGTGACAGTTGGGTCATGTTTAATTCAGAAGTGCCTGTAAAAGGACAAAGGTATAGGTCACCTGTCCCTAATTGCCTGTGCCATCACTTTTCAGTTCTACAACTACCAATGAATCTTCTCCATCCACCACATTGCCCGGTCTGCTTGCTGTGGTTTCCTCTACCAGTCACATTTCATTACTGTATCCTGTAGTGCCATTGTACTTGGCAAGAGGAACCGCACAGCAGGAGCAGGCATTTGACACTCTTGAAAGTACTGCGTACATAAGGTTCCTCAGGTGTTGCTTCTTTCTGTGTCAGCATAAAGATTAGCAGTGAGACAGGTGCGTATTACCAATGTTCTTTTACAAGCATTTTTTTTTTAATTATTACACAACAGAGTAACATTAAAGAGGGACTGAACTCTGGAAGTTGTACACCAAAAAAAAAAAAAGGTTGTTGCCCGTTTTTGGGTTAGTGGAAATGAATCATGAATCACTACAGCCAGCTGATGGATTGCTTCAGTCAACAGTCGGCTTGTGAAATTTCCACACATTCCTGACTGCTGTAGCAGCCGGGAGTGTTTGTGGGGAAAAAAACCCTGTTGCTGTGAACATTTATACTCTGCAATGAAGACTATATGTTTTCAATTAATGTACATATTAATATTGTAACGTTTTGCCTAAATGCCATTTCTGTGATAAAACGTTGAGGGTCCGTTCACACTAGAATGCAGTGCAGTTGAGCCACGTTCTCGTGCGGCTTCCCTGCACCACAATCCAATAACAACGCCCTTAGGATTTTCTGCAGAGGTTAGTTCAAAGTTAACGACCAAAATGCAGATCAAAATTGCATTCTGGCCACACCAGATCGCATGGTACAAAAGTACCATGCAATCTGGTTGCTATGTGTTTCAAAAAAAATAGTGAATGCACTACTTTTGGTGCAGTGTGATTTCAGCCCATTCAAAGTGAATAGGGCTGAAATCGCACTGCACAGAACTGTATGTGAATTGCACAGGATCGCACGGCATTCCTGTGCGATTCACATGCATTTTCTAATGTGAATGGGCCCTGAAACAAAGGCAATTATAAGCAAGCTACCACTGAGATAAGAGTTTATCTAGTTAAAAAAAAAAAAAAAAAGATGGTGTTAACTGACAGACTGCCATTGTGACAGGGTTGAGCAAAGCAAGTGTACAATCCAAACGCACACGTTCCTGCGTTAAAAATGGCGGTGTGTATAAGTGGGTGCTGCAGCGACCGTCGGCTGGAACCGAACAGAGTCCGCAAGGGAGAATGTCACCAGCACACCGAGGATCACCAATATGGGTCCAAAAGTCTTAATGAACGATCACATAGTTACAGCAAGGCAATGTTTCAGAGTCTGGCAGAACCCCTTCATCAGGCATGTGACGAAACGTGTTTTTGTCACATGCCTGATGAAGGGGTCCTGCGAGACTCCAAAACGTTGCCTTGCTGTAACTATGTGATCGTTCATTAAGACTTTTGACCCATAAGGGTTGAGCAAAGGGCCCGTGTTGATTTGCATCTGTTCACTTCCGAAACCGCTTCTGCAGAATCTCCCCATACAAATAGGAAACTGAAACAACTGAGGCAGGTCAGGTGCACCTGCAGTGAATTCTGAATGATTTTAGAGTCTAAGGCTGGTCATATATTATACAATTTTCTCGTACAATTTTCCTTTAGATTTACCAAAACTTACAAAATGAGGTAAAACCTAAACACTGTCAGTGTGTATGCAGTCAGGCAGGCCCTTGCACTACATAGCTGAAGGTAAATCTAAAGGAAATTTTATAACGTATGACCAGCTTTAGACTGTGAAAATCAAGCTGCATTTGCCCATCAAATCTGTCAACACAGCCGTAAAGCACAGTCATTGTGCATCAGCAAGAAGCAGGGCCATGAAATATACAGTAACTGTATCAGTGTACAGGTATAAATGATGTACACAGACGTGTGCTTCAGAAACTTCCCTTGATGAGATTACAAAGGTTTAGCTGAAAATATATTCTAAAAAGAAAAAATTAAACACAACATGTTGCTCTACACATCCTCATTGTGATAACTTTTGTCTGCCTTTGCAGTGCATTAAGACGTGGCTGAACACACAGAGTACGTGTCCAACCTGCCGAGAGCATGCTTTGCTACCAGAAGACTTCCCTGCCCTGTCTGGGAGAATGAGGACCGTGTAACCACAAAATACACCAGCAAACCCTGACTTGTAAATTCTTGTGATTGCAGACGTCTGTTATGTTATTCACCATCTGTCTTTTTTGACTAGTCTGTACATTGGATCACAAGGGACGACATATCTTGTGATGGCTACCAAATGCTCTCTTGTCGCCCAGATCTTGTATTGTGCCTTTATCTCGCTATTAGCCAGTATTCTCTTTATGCGCAGTCTTTTTTTTTCTCTTGTCAGTTGGAAAACACAGCTTCATAGTACGCAGCCTAGTGGCATACTGCTCCCTACAGAAGTAGTGGACGCCAGGCACATAAAAAAAAACTGCAGGCCAGCCTCTGTGGTCTATAACTCCCTTCTACAAGTCTGCTCTGTTTCACTTAGTATACTCAAGTAGAATAAACATTTTCTTCCTCTTTTTTTTTTTTTTTTTTTTTTTTTCCTGCCTTAGTGGATAAGCCCCTTTATATCCATAACTGAGCAGTATGGCAGTAGTGGCCTGGTCTTATTTGCTCACTGTGTTATTTGTATCGCTTTAAAGTGACCCTGTGCCGGGACCATGCACGCTAAATTATTTGCGTATTCTGAACAGACAGTACAGAACTTAAAACAAGGTTTCATTCACCCCTGTAGCTATAGACATTGTGAAGAAATTAATCTCCAAAGTTTATAACAGGCACCGAAATCTAAACTTGTTTCTCCTTTTAGTTTTCAGTAGAGAGAGCCCTTTAACCCCTTCCCGTCCACCCTGGCATTCATTTAAATAGTTTGAAATGTCTAGGGGGCATGAAGGATCAGCAATCATGTGGCTACTGTTGCAATGGTCACCAGATTGGAAGCTGGTCCCACCGGCTACTCATCTGTAGTCTGGACTGAAAGCTGTCTGCAACAGTTCGTTCTACTAGCTGAGAGCGTGTATAAAGCGCGTATTCAGCACCAAAATGCCACCCAGTCATGTATATGTGCAGTGTGTGTGGGAGTTGAAGCTCACCCTTTTGCAGTACATGAATGTTGGGAAGAAAGAACAGAAAAAACATGTTTACAATGCTTTTTGGATAATTCCCCTGGATCATGTGTGTTGGCAAAGCAAAAAAAAAGTGTACATCCCTGTAATGCATACATATTTCTCAGTTTTGTTTGTGCTGTAAGCACAGAAAAATATCTGTTGATATGCCATAAATCCAGTTAGCTCCTAACTTTCTGTAGTAGGATGACAATCAGGGTTGTCAGCACTGCCTGCATCCCCCCCCCCCTACTCAACAGTAATACACTTGCAAGTTTGAGAAGTTGGGGAAGGTGCTCACAGGTTAGCAGGGAAAATCGTATGGCTAACAGTGCCTCAGATTTCAGTGCAGCAGTGGCAGAGTTATCAACTCAAACAGAAAGTTTCTTTGTTGGCCTTTGAAGGACACCGGAAGTCTTTCATCTTCACTCCTGGGCACCTTGTTGGTGCTGGGGACTTATTTGTCGGAGTCTCATCTCCTGATCAACATCCTGGACCTTTGGGTGATTTGGCTGTTTTTGTAGGGTTGGACCATCATACTTTGGATGGTCATCTGCTGCAGATTCAGTCAGACAATGTCACAGCGGTGGTATACATAAACCATCAGGGAGGGAACCAGAAGCCTTTCAACTGCAAGAGAGGTAGATTGAATCCTGTCCTGGACTGCACTTCACTATCCAGTTTTGGCCATCATGTACATCCTAAATGTGGACAATTGTCAGGCAGATGACCTCAGCCAACAATGTTTGGACCCCAGGGTTGTTGTCCCTACACCCAAGGATTTTCCAAGATCTTTGTCACAGGTGGCAGATGCCAGATGTGGACTTCCTGACCTCCAGGTTCAAAAACAAAGGTTCTCTGCAGGGATCCTGCAGTAGAAGCAATGGGTGTTCTGGTGACTCGCAGTACACACTGATCTATGCATTTCCTTCCCTGGAACTTTATCCTTGTTTTGCTGTGCAACTTTGGGATTGAGGGCATGGGTGATCATCATTGCTCTGTTATCCCAGGCAGATATGATAAGCAACCTTGCAGGACTCACTACCAGACTGTCTCTATCTTCTGTCTCAAAAACCTCTGTTTAAACCAATTAGGCATTGCTTGCTCTACACCCTCCCTCAAGGTTCTATTTGTTGTAGCCACCATGAAGCAAGTGTCTAAATTGGTGGCCTTATCCTGCAACTAGCCTTTTCTGTGTTCACAAAGGGATAAGGGGGCATTGAACGTCATCTCTGCCTTTTCCTCAACTAGGACATTGTCTATCCTCTGCCCGGCTCCAGTTCCCAAAAAATACATTTCTATTTTCTGAATGTAGTTCAGGCTCTGCGAGTATCTTTCAGCCACAGTTTCTTTCTGAAAGACTATGTTTTTGTCCTCCTGGTGGGTCCCTGTAAGGCTGCATCAGCTCTTTGGTTTTACCATTTCTAAGTGACTCAGACAAACCATCATCCCAAGCTTAGGGTCTCAAGGTTCAGGGTCCACCCTTTTATGTCAAGGTGCACTCTATTAGATCTGTGAGTGCTTCTTGGCCTTTCAGCCTTGGCTTCAAGCAATTGTTTTCTAGATTTGCAAAGCGGTCACCTGGTCTTCTGTTCGCACATTCTGTAAGTTCCACCAGTTTGGTGTTTTGGCTTCATCTCATGCCAGCTTTGGGCATAAGGTACTTCAGGCAGCTGTGTTGAGCTGCAGGCAGTTCCCAGTTTTCAGGTGTATTCCTGGAATGGTAGCATTTGCTCTGTTGCCCACCCCTCAGTTGGATGTTTTTTGGACATCCCAAGAACTTCCTGTCTATCAGTAAACAAGCAATGAAATTGGATTTTGTACTCACCGTGCAATCCTTTTCTTGGAGCACTTTGAGGGACACAGGTCCCTGCCCTCTCTGTTTATGGTCATGTTTGCTACAAAGCTGTGGCATGTCTAGTAGTAGTAAGAGAGGCTGTCCTAAAGTGTTTGGCAGTGTCCAGTCTTCCTGTAGGTGGCAGTATAACCCAAAGGTTTAAGATTTCCTGTGTCCCTCAGTGGGTTAGAAAGAAATTAGGATTTTTGTACTCGTAAAATTTTATTGAAGTCTATTGAGGGACACAGGAAGTCTTGAACCTTCAGATTGTACTGCGGCCTACAGGAGGATTGAAGACTGACATACAAAACTATAGGCTAGCTCAGGTCTCCTACAACCAGCATGCCTCATTTTCCTCAGTGGACTCCAATAAAAGGTCTTAGTACAAAAATCCTATCGTGCTGCATCTAGTGTTTTTCTTTTCCCTAGGGTGCTGGCCTACACAGATCAGCAATAATATGACCACCCCCACCATAACCTGTTGAGGCATGGACTCCACTAGACCTCTGAAGGTATGCTGTGGTATCTGGCACCAAGCCACCAGTAGTATATCTTTTAAGTCCTGTAAGTTGCAAGGTGGCTCCTCCATATATAGGACTTGTTTTTCTGGCATATCCCACAGATGCTTGAGTTTACCGTGTTTACCTCCAAACCCTCCAGATCTCAATCTAATCAAGTTCCTCAAACCCTTCTTGAATTCCTCGGACCAGGTCACCTTCTTCCATTTGTTCCGTGGTCCAGCTCTGATGCTCACGTGCCTATTGTAGATTGTGGGCATGGGTCAGCATGGGCACCCTGACCGGTATGTAGCTACACAGCCCCATAAACAACTAAACTGCGATGCGCAGCATGTTCTTACACCTTTTTATAAGAACCAGCATTAACATTTTCAGAATTTGATCTACAGTAGCTCTTCTATTGGATTGGAGTACAACCTTCACTCCCAGCGTGCATCAGTGAGACTTGGCCACTCATGACCCTGTCACCAGTTTACTGGTTTTTCTTCCTTGGACAACTTTTGGTTGATCCTGACCACTGCAGACCCGAAACATCCCACAAGAGCTGAGGTTTTGCAGTTGCTCTGACCCAGTCGTCTAGCCATTACAATTTGGCCCTTGTCAAAGTCGCTCAAATCCTTCCACTTATTCTTCTTTCAACACATCAACTTCAGGGTCAACATGTTTTCAGGTTCTATTGTCACAAGATATCAGTGTTACTCACTTTACCTGCCAGTGGTCCTAATGTTATGGCTGATCAGTAGTCCATATACACTTTAGGGTGGAGTCACTAACTGGATGACTAGCCCAAGTTCTCTAAGCCTGTTAAGGAGAGCTCACTTGTGGATTATGGGATAAAGCTGATTATTTTCTTTTTTTTTTTCTTTTATTTTTCTCTTACACATTTTGTGTGATTTATATCAGGCAGTATAAATTAAGCAATTCTTTTAGCCACACATAACATGTTTGGATATATAAATATTTAAAATAGATAGTTGAGCTTGGCTAATCTATAATGCAATGCTTTGATTGGCGTCGTTTAGTTAGACTTGTTTTCTGGTCCCATGTTTTATTATATTTTCATATTTTCCTCCTTATTGACCTTTCCTTACTAAAAAGATACAGTTTAATTTTGTTGGCGACAGGGGCACTTGCTGCATGGTTTGCAATTGGCACCACTTTTATTTTCTTTACCAGTGGCTATTGGACACAAGCATTGCATTAGGACAACAGTTACTTGAAAATGTCTTTATCTGGCAGCATTGTTCTTTGGGTCCATGGATCAGAAGCATGTATGTCAGGCTGTGGGCTGGGGCCCCTCTGTGTACATGTGAAAGCAAACACAATCTTTTCTTTGTACAGTCTATACAGGAGCTGGTTGAACAGCAGATCTATCATCTGTAGATACCACAGGCTCTGTTCACTAAACTACAAAAAAAATGGAAACACTACATGATTTGCTGGTGTGAAAGTGACATGTTTTGAGTTGAAAGTGATGTAACTTTCTTTTGCTTTCGCTGTGTGATGAGACACCTAGCAAACAAGTGAGAAGCCTCACTTTCGTCATTCACTGCGTGCGCTGCTGTTAATACGGAGTCATGTCAGAGCTTACGGTGCTTCAAAGAGGGCGAATTGTTGGTGTCGCTTAGCTGGTACCTCTGTGACTGAAGTTA